CTCTAAGGAAGACATATGAGATATTAAGGACACGCTTTGTATAAATCCTGCCAAATACAATAAAACTTCGAGAAGGCATTTATGTGTATGTCTTAAACATCTTCAACATTTCTTTTATTGTAATTTTGTTCCAGCTAGGAAATTACTCAGGTATTTTGAATATTTGCCCTTGTATTATAGACTCTATTGTAACTGAAAAACAGATACTTTAATCCTAGTGGGAAGGGAACTAGGAGTGAAAAGGGAAAGGGGCAAAGAAGGTAATGCTCAAAGACGACAAAACCATGAAGCTGATGTGTTTCTAGTGAAGCAAAGGTCCCTGTAGAGGGACAGGTTAAAGATTAAGTTGAGTGAAGATGACTGATGGAGGGAATTGTGTCAAAGGCAATTTGGGGAATAGAAAAAAAAAAGCCTGGGCAAGAGATAAGAAGTACAGATGAGTAAGGAACAAATGGTAGTAGGGAGACCAAAAGCTATGAGAGGTCAGGCTAAATGTCCTCCATCAAGTGGGTGCTTTAGGATGTACCACACAGCCTGCTGCAAGTTTGAGGGTAATTAGGCAGGAGTCAGATTTGCAATAGTTATTAAGAGAAATGAGGCAGGAACGTGGCCAGTTATAGATGGAATGATGGGTAATTGGTTTTAGAGGCCAATGATATTTCTTTAATATTTCAGAACCTTTACCCAAGTGATTGGAAGAAACAGATTGATAATTACTTCTACATTACACTTGTAGGGGACTTAGAATTCTTTCCTTGGTGTAACATTTTATACTCAGTTATTCTTTGGGGTAGAGACATTTTTTAAAAAACACAATCACCTAATATGAGTGTTAAGTGAGGTAAAAGAAGAACAATTCATACACAATCTAAGAAAACATACTTTGTCCTCAAAAATCTGTGAAAAAAAAAGATCTGAGCAGAGAAATGTTATCACTGTAAATGTATTCTCAGGCTAGACTAACTGACTGCAACTTAAATAACGGAGTTAACCTACTAAGAGGAAGAAGTGGTAACCTGAAGTAGCAGTTCAGATTGATCTTCTTGAAACAAAGCAAAGGAAGGAGTCATACTAGCCACACTTTTGCATGGCATGCCCACGGTGGCCACGGTTCTGCTAGCTAGCAGTCCTACGAGTGATAGTAACAGCTGAGGTTGTTCTTCTCATATGCAAATAATTAAAACTCATTGTTCTTAACTGGTTTATTTCTAGTGACTTTATATTTGCAATTAAGATTAGCAGCCACTTGATGGAAAAAGTGTTTATATTTGTCAAGAATAATGAATTTTTGGAAACATAGCTCATCAAAGTGAAATGTATATAGATTAATCAGAATATTAATCTTCATGGTTATTTTCTACTTGATAAGCATTGTGCTTGGCAGGGAATAACCCTGAATCTTCCTTCTGCATGAAGGTCTGAAGGATGATCTCTTGCTGTGGCACTTGGATTTGTTTTTTCAATCATACCCATAAGCTGTGCTCCATGTCAGCTCATCCGAATTCTAACCTGTGTCTCATCATATATGGAACTTTTGTGTTCTGGATGAACCTGAATACTCATGCTACATCATAGACAATTGATTTTAAGGGTTCAGCCTCTCTTTCCTCAAAATTTAATCAAATGGGCTATAAACCAAGTAGGGCAACTGAAGTCCGAGCTTTATGGTTTATCCTAATTTGCTTGAGCTGGTAGATAAATTGAACACTGAACTCTAGACTTGTTTCTTGGGGAAGTGTCTGGGAAGGAAGGAAGCATCACATCATTCATTCTCCCTAATTCCCTCTGTGAGACTAAGCAGGATATCCAGGTAATGCAGCATTTCTACCTTGGAGTGACGATGACTGGCAAAGAAAATGTTAGTGTCCCTCTGGGACAACAGGTGCCAATGGTGGTTTTCTGTCTCAGCTCCCTTCCTGGAATCTTAAAGGATCTGTTAACCTTGGGGATCTCCTCTGTCCTGGCCTCAGACCTCCTAGAATAATTCTTCTCATCAATTACTACTGCCCTTACATTCTGTCCTCAGTGCCAAAGTTATTATATCAGAAGTGAGTACTTAGTTTGGCTTAATTGACTGGGGAGAAAATACTTCTACAGAAGTACTCTTCAACAAGTGCCGTATTCTTATGGGTGCTTTTAGTCATAGTGATCCTCATGCTTGGTACTCAAAACAGATTGAAGCTGCCTCATTTTTCTTGAGGAAACTGGCAAAACAACATTTTTAGAAAATTGTCCATATTCATCACTACTTTGTTTTTTAAAAGAAGACTTTTGAACAGGTAGATACTTTGTACTTGCTGTCCCTGTGTTCTGTTCCCTTGAGGGTCTCACCTCCTGTGCTTTCCAAGTGACCAATAGATTGTAAATAAATGTATTTGTGAACACATGAGAGGCCCTGTCCTTATCCAAGTAGTTCAGACCATTAAAATATCTTTCAGAAGGTGGAGCAATCATCTTTGTTTCTGGCCTGAAGCTGTCATGCACTCTTAGGGTTTCCAACCAGATGATCCAGCTAGACTACTGGTACTCCTCAGTATTTATTCAAAAGAATTAAAGTCAGCATACTTCAGGGACAGTTTAAGCCATGTGTGCCATAGCACAGTTCACAGTAGCCAAGTCATGGAACCAACATTGATGTCTGTCAGTGGAAAAGTGGGAGAAAGAATATGTGGTATCTGTACACAGTAGAGTTTTACTCAGCCATAAAGAAGGACAAAATTATGTTATTTGCAGGAAAACAAATGAAACTGGAGAGTATTGTGCTAAGTGAGATAAACCAAACTCAAAAAGTCAAGGGTTGTATGTTTTCTCTCATATGTGGAAACTAGAGATAAAAAGGGAAAAAAGGAAAAAAGAGGACCTCCTGAAAGTAGAAGGGAAACCAGTAGAGTAGAGGTTGGAGATGTGGAGGCAGGAAGGTAGGTTACAGGGGAATAAAAGAGATCAAATTATACTATGTACATGCACAAATATATCAAGTGAATCCCACTATTATGTATTATTATACCAATGAAAAGGGAATAAAATCATTATTTTTGATTATTCCTCACCAAAAACAAAATTCTCAGGAATTCCAGGTCAGGCCAAGAATGATGAGTCTAAATCGTTAAGCAGTTTTTAGGATGGTGGGTTTATCTGTTAGGAGTTTTGTTCATCTGCACATAACAGAAACACAGCTGCAGTGGCTTAGCCAGATAGGAATTCCTTTGTTCCTAGGTTGCAGGAAGTGTAAAGGCAAGTAGTTTCAGGGATCAGCTAATTATCACTGCTCCCAGTTTCTTCCCTGACACCCCCAATGTATGGCTCTCATTCCACAAGGGCAGGGGAGGAGCAAAAAGATGCTGGGACTGTCCTTTATTTACTTGGAAAGTAATATTTTCCAACTGGTGGACTTCCACTGACATATCACTGGCCAGAACCAGGTGACATGCCACCCTAACTACTAGGGGATTCTGAAGAGGTGATTATTTTTAACTGCACTCATTGTTGCCTTGAACAGAATTGGAGTTTTGTTGGCAAGGAAGATGTTGAATGATTAAGCAGTGAGCAGTCTGCCCATAAGAGCTACCTGCCATCTTTCAAAACCAGCTTTAAACATTTGCCTGAGTGCTATCTAAATAATGGTATCTTAATTATACGTCTGTTTGAGATGGAGTGTTTACTTACCCTGTTTGTCTAGAGAGGAGATGATACTGTAAGTGGGCTATGCCTTTCCTTTCTTAAGAATAGTGGCTGTGTCTTGGCCTTTCACAGTAAAGACTCTTTGACTTATAACAGGCTAAATGCAAATGGCATGAAAAGACCATTCCTCCTCAATATGGTGAAACCCAAAGGCCCAAGGACAACCACAGACAGAAATCCCTCTGACCCCCTTAATTTGGCCCACTTTCCATTTCTTTCATGCTCAAAAGGGCAAAGATTTTCTTCTTACCATTCCTTTGGGCTCGGGATCTGTTTTCCCTTTCCTACTTTAGGGTAGCTCTTAATTTATCCTGCTTTATTCCAACCCTGGGTTAAAGTATATTTCTAATCCTTTTTTCCTAGGAAAACAAATGAAGTACATGCAATTTGAAGAACTAGTGTCACTATACACTTTTTATGTACCTATAAAACTTCAAATGCTCTCCTTTTCACGCTTTCTAGTTTTATTTCTTCCTCTAGGTCCTTGATACAGTGCTGTAACCCAATATGTTGTGAGTAAGTTATAGAATATGAACCCCTTCAGCCTTCAGGGTGCTATGGCAGAGCCCAAGGCAGGCACATCTTTGGCAGGCATCTTAAGTGAAAATATATCTTCCACTGACTACCTCAGTGTGTTGAATATATTACCATTTTCTATATGCCACGAGGATAGAAAGCTTGGGAAATCCTGTCTCCCGACTTATTCTTTGGGTCCCTGTCCTTTCTATCATTCTTCCACACAGAAGCATGCACAATTTCTGTTGTGTCATAGAAGATAACTTCATAACTTCACATCTTTTTGGTTCATTCCATCTTTTTTTTTTCTAATTCAAGTTCTGAGGATTGAATCCAGGACCTTGCACATATTGGGCAAGCACTTTACCACTGAGCTATGTACCCAGCCCCCTCAATTCATCCTGAATTCTGTTCTATTATCCTAGTTTGCTCTTCTTTTCCTTTTGACAAGGGATTTCATAGAAGGAAGCTCACCCTAACCTCTTTCTTATAAATTAGCTCCTTGCTGAAGCTGCAGCAAGTATACCCATTGTTCTTTGCAGTGTTGTCTTTTGGTAACATTGAACTTGGCCAAGCCCCCAAATGCCATCTTCTTTCCAACCTCTCACCCTGACCCCTTGTCCCAATAAATGCAACTATAGAAATTCAGAATAATAATATGCTGGAAGGTAGTCATTAAGAATAGTGTTCTTTAATTTTCCCTTTTATTTTTTTTTCTATTTATTTTAGAGCATGAATTAGTCTTGGAGCTAGGAAAAGACAGGTTATAATTACATTAAAAGTGTTTTTTAAATTTTTTCCAGATGAGAATTCTCCAGCCAACTTCTGGGATTCTAAAAACAGGGGTGTGACTGGAACACAAAAAGGACAAATTGTGTGGAGAATTGAGCCTGGGCCCTACTTCATGGAACGTAAGTAACTGAGTGTGAAACACAAGTTTAGTATTGAGTATTGCATAAATATATGCATAGGTCTATAGAATCTTTACTGAATTTTTAAAAATATTTTTGGTTCTTATTTATATATTTCTGTCATAAAGCTCCACAGCGAAAAATACATGGTTTTTCAGAACATGCTCATTAGAGAATGTTCACATATTTTGAAATAAAAAAGGATTAGGCATTTGTACATATACAAACACACACAAATATGTGAATATAAATATATACAATACATGTATATTTATGTACCTTATGGAATATATGGTATATAAATTATGTGTTATTTTAATACTTTACAAATTTATATATATCTTTGTATCTACATTTATAATTAATGTTTAAGTATATTAATTCTGGATGCAGAAAGGATAATTAGGATTTTTGTCAATTTAGGAATTTTATTTGTTTTTAGAATACTTCATTATTATTTTTGCCAGCAGCAGAATAATCTGGATTCTGGTGTTTTCAAAGTGTTGATAAGATAGTCTGGGGGGCACTGCGATTGAGGAAATTACTAATGCAGCTAACATAGAATCAGAAAGAGGCTGCAGATAATGTAACCATTGCCCAATTAGTATCTCTCCCTTTTTTATTTTGGGTAAAATGGAGGTAGTTTATATTTGCCACTAGTGTTACTAAGAACATCCTAAATATTCTATAAAAATTTATAAAATAGAAAGAATGAATAATAGATGATTTACTAGTTGGCCCAGATTTAACATCTATGTCTAGAGAATTTACTTTTCTTTAATGTACAAAAAATGGGCTTTTTAAATTTTTTTCTGAGTTATAGAGCCCTGTGTAAGAATTAAGATTTCTCTATGTAAGATATTTAATATACAATAAGATATTTAATATACAACAGAGTAATTAAGGATAGAACTTATTAAGCCTTAAAATATAAGGTATAATTTGATTAAATGGAAATTTGTTGCAAGCATGTCTTTATTGATGCATCTAAATGTAATATAAAAGTTATTTTAAAAGTTTAATGTCTAGGGGCTAAGATTGTGGCTCAGTAGCAAAGCGCTTGTCTTGCATGTGTCAGGCACTGGGTTCAATCCTCAGGATCACATGGAGGTGAATAAATACAAAATGAAGGTATTGTGTTCATCTACAACTGAAAAAATATTTTTAAGAAAGTTTAATATCTATTACTTTGAATTGGTATTAAAGGTATAAGATAATTTCTTCAATCATCCTTCCTGGTTGGTCAGCATTTCAGAACTTTCTCTAAGCCTGCTTCTGCCCCTTAAGGAATGTCTTCATAGTCCAATGTTCTGGCTAGCTTTCTCTTAAAATGGAGTGTATTTTTTAAGGGAGACTGTTCATGACATAAGAAGAAGAGGAGGTGGGGAGTAGGTGGGTGGGAGAGCAGATATGCATACCATAATCCCAGCTAGTAGAAGAGTGTCTAGGAAAGTATGGGAACTTTGGATAAGGTTGTTTCTGGGAGGTGGAGTTATGGATGGTTTGTTATTCTTGTCTATTTCTACTTTACTTTCCAACATTGGCTTAATTGGCGCTACTAAGTGGTAAGGAAAATAAGTCAGAATGTGGGAAAAATGGAACAGGAAATAGCTGGTTTTACTTGTAATGTGATTCCTTCTTTGAAAGGATTCCAGGGTTTAAGAGGCTGATTAAGTGAGAAATATTACCAGCTGAATGCCAGGAGAAAGGCAAAACCATCTTTCTGTTTGCTTCAAAATGCTGAAGACTGCATGCCATGATTGCCTGTCGACAGAGGGGGCAGATTTATATTACAGAGCCCAGGAACACCTTGGACAAAGCCAGTGTCACACACTGCTGTAATTTGGAACATTATGTGAAGAAAAAAAAAATCTATTTAAGGAGTATTCCACTTGCTGTGATTGATTTTTTTCTCTTTCTCCCAAAATGTTAGCGATTCATAATGTCCTGGCTGATTAAGCTATACCAAACAGAAAACAAAACAAATATAAATTTACTATATAGTAAATACTATAAACATTAAGTATAGTAAATATTTGTCTTGGCAAATGTTTTTTGTACATCTCATTCTGTTATTTAATAGAAATGGGCTTGATGTTGAAGCTAGGAATTAGGAATGAAAAGAAGAGTAGGGTTCCCCTGCCTATTTTGTTTTCTCTTCTAATTTAGCATTCCATACCTCCATTCTTCACACATAAAATTAGAAGCATTGAATAGCAGATTATAAGCCTGGAAATATTCAGTAATATTTTGAAGGACTGAGAAAGATAGTTTAAGTCTAAGACAGTGAGTACGAATTTCAGAAAGATTCTGCCTTCAAATAACCCTATCTTCATAGGATCAAAATGAGTTCTCCCCTGACATACCCCTTTATCTTTACAGTGGAAAAAAATCATGTAGTGTTTCTACCCATGCTTAGCAGTAAAGTCCATGTCTTTTAGATGTCAGTTTTTAAACTTAAATTCTGGAAAGAGGAATCCTAAGGGAGCTTCATAGCATAATGAAATTTTGGAGCTGATGGTGTGGAACTTAAAAAAAAAAAAGAGGGGGGAGGAGAGATGTTCACACAGCTTCTAGAATTGTAGATATTGTCAGCCTCTGACCTTCAAAACTTATGGTATTTTAAAACTTTTACTTTCATCTTCAGAAATAAAATTAGTTATCTTTAGCTCATTGGAAGTCCAAGAAAAGTAAAGCCCTCTGAAAATTGATCTGTCCAGATTCCTGAACAAGCTTGGATTTGAGCTGTTTAGAGTACTTCTTAATGTCAGATGACTCTGGTTTGTTTAATCAACCCCCACAGGAGGTAGGTGGCCCAGGCTATATTATTAGGTTATTATTAGGCCCTACTTAAGTGAATTAAGGAAAAAGTCCAGTTTAATTTTGGGGAGATGACCATCCTAAGCATTAGAGAGGGGAGTTGGCTTCCTCCAAAGAGTGTCAAATAATCCTCCAGTGAGCTTATGCTCACAGCAACTGAATGGATCATCTGTGCAGTACGCCTTCTTGAGTTTGGAAGTTTAAGAAGTTTCAAAAGTTGTCTTGGCAAGTCAAATTGTCTCTATTATCTCATGTATTCTTTCATAAACTGTGGCCATTCATTCAATCATACCTGCTTTTGATCTTGCCCTCTTTCTTCTATTCATCCATCCATTATCTCTTCATCCATCATGAAATATTTATTGAGTGCCAACTTTATGCCAGACACTATTACAGCTATTCAGTAGTCCTGGATCGATGAGCAAGTTTAGAAGTAGTAAACTTGATTTACATTACTTGGTGATTATTAAGGATAAAAACACATCAGTGGTATTTGTAGAAGCTGTATAGTGTTTTCCCACATTTATTTGCATCAGCCTTGAGAAATGAATATAGGTTAGGAGCAGGAGAAATCCAAACAGCTAATGTGAGGCTCTCATCTCTGAGTGGCAGCATTCATGTTGGCATCTTTTCAAAATAGACTTGTCACAGAATGGCTTTTTTTTTGGGAGAGAGGGTGTGACCTCAGCCTCTTGTTTTTACTTTCATTGCCCCGACTCTAAATGCCACCATCTCTGAGTCCTTTCCCACTGATGTCAGAGGGCCTCCTTGCCCCTTGGATTAAGATTTGGTGCTTTTCATTCTCCATCCTCATATTTAATATTTTGGGATAGTTAGTTCTCAATCCTATAGATTTCTGCCACATCTGCAATGATTTTCCTGACTTTAGCCAAGGAAATCCTCTCCATTTCAGACTGGGCTGCAGGTGTCCTTATTAAAAAGAAGACAACTTACAGAAATGCAATAAAGACAAGTGCACATACCACCAGGAATGTGGGCAAATTTCCTCAAAAGTGTGAATTAAGATGTGTTTACTTTCTCTCAGATTGTGGCTCCTGAATAAAAGGGCTCTGAATAGGAACTATAATCTTAAGCATTTCATAAAACCATCCAGGACATTGATTGAAATCACGTTTTAGAATAAATCGCAATTAGCCTGATTTTTAAGATTATTTTAGTAAAACAGAGAGGATTGAAGGAAGAAGGGTGTTTACATCCCATCTGTCTTTATGGTTCAACTTTATGGTCAGCTTCTAGAAACTTGGTGCAAATCCAGACTTTCTAAATAAGGATGAGCTGCCTAAGCAAGCCTAAGGCTACGGACCAATTCCAGTCTTTGAGGCAAAACAATTTTGTGAAGGGAGTGAGTGACCTGTAGACCATGTTTTTGGAGAGGGCTTGAGATGTAATCATGTATAAATGCCTCTGGTTAACGTAACTGAGTTGGATTGTTTTTTTTAAAAAAGATTTTTTTGAAGAGGTAATATATAAGAAGAGTATAATATTAAAAAGATATAATAAGTGAAAGTAAATCTCTTCCCAGTTTTGTGTCCCAGTAACTAGTTTTCCCACCCAAAGGCAACTAGTTACTAGTTTCATGTTATTTATCTGGAAATACTTTATTTATATATAAGACCAGAAATACAGTCTTCATTTAAACAGGATGGTGGCTTTAAAATGCAATATCAGAATCACGGTTTCAGAAACCCTTTACTTCAGAACACATTTAACACTGTCCACAGTCCTTTCTTCCTCCCTATCCTCCCCTTCACTCCCCATACCTGCTCTGCCTGCTCTGGTGGGGATGGGGTTGTTGTGCTTTTGCCCTGGGGATGTTTTATTTGTACTTATGAAAAGGGGCATTTAAATTGAGGGTACCGTATATTTATTTTAGTAACACTATTGCTAAAATATCCTGAAGTTTACTGAAAGAAGCCAGACTATATTACCATGATTCATGATTGTGTTCAGCTTTCAGAAGGTACCTAAGAGGTGAAGATGTCACTTGGACCACAATCTCTTAGACAAGTCACCGGCAAGTTCTGATAGGCCAATATGGAAATATTCACCCATCTCCTGGCTTGCTGCCCTCTGAGGCAACATGCTTTTTCATGAGTGGATTCTTTGGAAAAATTACTGGTTTTTAATAGCTTTTTGGATTTTTCCACCTGTAATTTGAGGCCAGTAGGAGGTGATGTTGCCTGCTGCATCAAGCTGTAGGGAAACCATTTAGGAGGATGGGATCACTCATTGCTCCTTGGTCCATGTCTACCATCTCCCCTGCTTGTGGACATGCTGGCCCTTTGGACACTGGGTTCCTCCCTAACTGGATGCTCAGTCACTGTGTCTGAATTCACTTCTATGAATGTATTTCTCTGGAATAGCTTTTTTTTAAAAATTTTCCTCTTGCAGTTAAAGGTTGTTGCTGGAAGCCTGGATACCAACTTCTCTTTTTCACCCTTTTACATAGTTACCTTTTCTCCTAACTAACATGTTCAAATACATTAATCAAAATGTCACTCTCTCCCACTCTCTCCCTTACTCAGAGGGGAAGTCAGTTAGGTAACCATTTAAAAAGTTTTTGAGTGATCTCCTAAAATACTAAGTAACATTTGAAGATAAAAAGTCCCACTCAATATGGAACATTCCTATGCACTAAGGGGCAGAGAGCCTCACCCATGTCCGGCTGAGGGAGCCTGCTGGCTTCTATCAGGAGCAGACAACTGGTTCTGTCCAGAACTGTGGTGATCAACCTGTGTGTGTGGCTTTGACATGATGATCTGTGGAAATTCCTCAGCTTTGCACTTCTGTAACACCACTCTGCGGGGTTTTGGTGATCATATTCATAAAATCTACCTTTGTACAATTCATAAGAAGTTTTGTCTTGTAGTTCCGGTGTATTCTGAATTGTGTGTGTTGGAGATTTTTTGTTACACTAAGAAATAAAATAATGCCCCACATAGATCAGTTAGCAAAACTGTCCTGGTCATCAATATCCTCCAAGAGAAGTAAGCAATTGATTTCCCTTGGTCTCAGAGTCTATTGCCTAGCTGACTATTAAAACCTTAGAAAAAGAGCAGATAGCATCCTCTAACCTGAGAGGGAGTTAGGAGAAGATATATTATAAAAATGCACTTCTCTCTATTAAAAAATGTCATGTTCATGCACTAACCATCTATTTGATTTATGAGGTGCTGCTGCAGGCAGATTCACAGGCTGCAGGTTCTCTGGCATTTAGAGTGTGATACTAATGAGCTCGTACCCACAGAATCCAATTGCGCATATCACACACTCTGTGGAGCTTTGTGCTGCTTTGACAGTCTTTGTGCATGTGGCTTCACTTGGTTCTCATAGAACACGTGCTCTTGGATCATGGAAGAAAGCCAGTGGAGAGTGAGGTCTGCTCAGCTTCATGCAGTTATGAACTGTCCCCATAATCAAGATCTTGTGTTCGTGTTCAGGAAAGTCATTTGAAGGAACGTTCTCTGGAGGCAAAATCACAGTGAAGCTAGAATTCTTGCTGTTCCTCACACTCAGCATGATCACCGCTGCCTCCCTGCTCTGTCCTGGCTCTCTGATCTTACTTTTCTCATTCCTGGGACCTCTTTGTTCCATGACACCTTCTGACTCCACCATGGCCTCCTAATCTCCCAGGTCTCTGTTTTCTTCCTCCTGCTGCTCTTTGTCTGCTGTGTTTTGTCATGCCCAGAACTGTCATCCCAGCAGCTGCACTGTAAACACCTGCTGGATTTGTCTGGCACAGTGCTGGGCATGTATTTTGGTGGGGACCTAGTAAAACATCCTTGGGTTGATGATGCTAACTGAATTATGAATTAGTTATTGGATTGTGGTTAATGTACTTAATAGATTGAATATTTTACCTCATGATGGAACTTTTCTTATTATTTTATCTTTTTCTTAAACAAGCTAACCAGTCCTTTTGGGTACTGTCTGGAAAGTCAGTGAAAATTAACTTCCTAGAGAAAATATAGAGAGTAGCTCCACTTTCATGATCTTGGTAATTCATTTGAAAAAGGGATTCCTTGCTATAGCTCAGGACTCTCTCTGGGGCCTGGCCACTGGCATCATTGCCAATATAGAATGACACCTTAGGAAAAATGTATCTGGCCATGGCACTTCCGAGACTCATATGCTCTGTATGTTGAGAAATTCTGGTGATTGTAGGTTTTATAGTTAACACATTTTGTCTTCTTGCTCATTGATATTGTAATTACTTTCCAAAGACCATAATTGGTATTTGTAATGATTTTTGTCAAGCTTAAATTAACAGAATGCCATGAAGTGTATGTGTGTGTGTGTATATATATATATACACACACACACACGCACACACACACAAACATACACATATGTATATATGCCTACGTGTGCGTATGTATATATGTATGTATGTAGTTCTCAAATTTGATCTCTAATGTCAGCACTCAAATCATTTGGAAAATTAAAATAAAACAGATTCCCATAGACTCTACTGTGGTATACTTTTGTACTTTTTTTTTTTTTTTTTTACTTTTTTCTTTATTTCTATTGACAGTGACAGTCTGTCTGTATTGTAGAGGTTAGGACCTTGGGCTTATTGGGTTTTAGTCCCCACTGTCATTTCTTGTTTGACCTACAGCAAACCCCAATTTCTCATCTCTAGCACATTGACAGGAATTTCTGCCTCCCAAGCATGACATGATGGTTAAATAATAGCATGAACATGAGACATAACACTGTTTGGCAAATTGTGGAGTCTCTTAATAAATGTAGCTAGTTTTATTCTTATCTCCACGCTGTTTGGGTATATGGTTTTTAATGCATCATTTTTCTGATATGTTTGAGCTATTCTTCAGAAGTTTCAGAAGCGCATACAAAATCAATCAGGGATTGGTGTAATCTGGTATAATCTGTTGTCTCTGATTGGAAAAGAAGGGATTGTTCACAGAGTCAAGAGTGACATTGCCTGAGAGGAGAAGGATGGGTTTCCTCAGTGGATTCCTACGTGACTTCTTTCATTGTTTAAATTACTGTCCTTCCCCTTTACTTTTCAGCGGAGATAAAAATCTGTTTTAAATACTACCATGGCATTAGTGGAGCCCTGCGAGCCACGACCCCCTGCATCACCGTGAAGAACCCAGCTGTGATGGTGAGTGCCCCTCTCTGCCAGCTTCCTCGTGAGGTGCATGCAGGGATATGATTTCTATTTTTGCCTCTGCATCCCTGACAGGGTTACTATGAACAAGGAAAAAGGAAATGCATAACAGCGTGGGCACTGTTTTGGAAAAGGAAATAGCTTTCAAGGTTGGCATACCTGAATCTGTAATATAAATCAGTGGGAAAACATGCTGTGTATTGGCAGCTCCGCAGGGAACCCTCTCATGAGGCACAGTGGCCAGTGTCCCATCACAAAAAGGTTTTAAACTTGGTTTGGGTGGCTGATTGGTAGGAAATGTTGGTATTGCATCTTAGGTGAATTTAATTTACATGAATTCAGGGAGTAAAAGAGAAAATGTAACCATTTAAATAGTGGGTGATTTTACCTGCCAACCCAAAGATCAAAGTGCTGGATTCCATTCAATGCTGAGTTGGGGTGTAGTGCCTAAAGATACTGTTTATATTTTTTTTAGGAAAATGTGGCCACTTGTTAGAAGCCAACTTCTTTATCAGGCCCTCAACTGAAGAAACAGATAATCTAATTTACTTTTGGAGGAAACTAGTTGTGTTGGACATTTAAAAGAAACTTGTCTGTTCTTGGAATGAAACTTTCCTAACAACTTCGTGATTTTTTTCATTCAATACACCAACTTTAAAACTCTAGCATTCTTGTAATGAATGGGTCCATTGTATATGATGATTGGATTATGGTTTGAGGTGATTTTTAGGACCCAAGATATGTAAAACCTTGCAGTTTTTATTAGTCATTAATAAAAACTAGGTCATGAATATAACAAAAAATGTTGACTTTTGTACTGTAGGATCTTACAAAATTGTGTGTGTGGGTGTCCATGAGTATCTACATTTATACATGGTTGCACTTTTGGAAATAGACAAGTGACCAGGTGGAGTTCCTATAATTCAGAAAGCAATTTCTGAGGATGGCATTCTGAAATCTTCCAGACCTGCCATGCACTGTCTTAGGTAGTGTCTGTGCCTCTGAATTGAGTAGTCTTTTCTTTTTATTTATATCCACTGGGTGCCTGCTAAGTGCCAGGTACTAGAGATGAAATGATAAGAACAACACAGCTGTGGCTCTTATTGGTCTGGTGAAGGACAGCAATATCAATCAAATTACATTGTATTTCTTTGAGTGATACTTCTTTAAGGAGAATCATATTAGTAGGAAGGCTTCTCTGAAGAAGATGTGATGAGAGACAGTCTGAAGGGTGAATAGAAGTTATTTAGGATGAAGAGCATTTCAGGCTGAGGGGACAGTGTGTGAAAATACTTCAACACTCAGAGGATGGGGGATAGGAAAAGGAAAGAAAGTGGTGGAATGAATCCAAAATAATTTTTCTATGTACTTATTCATTTTCTATGAATCCCACTGTCATGTATATCTATAAGAATAGGGTGCTAACTAGAAAAAGATATATTCCATGCTTATATAATCATATCAAAATGAATTTTATTATCATTATAACTGAAAAGATCCAACAAAAATATAACACAATAGAAAATGAATAAATAAATAAATAAGACCATCTTTGAGTCCCCATTGTAGAAAACCTAGAGTAGAATATAAAAGAATAACCCACATTACTATTTAAGACTGCAAAGGTCACAAAAGAATAGCAATTGTTGACTAACAGAATCTGCCATGTCGCAGAGTAAGCTCTGGAATGGACTTTGCTCCAGTTAATATTCTAAAAAGAGAAGGTACAAAACTAGAAGAGTGGGCAGGTTATAATAAAACCTTTGACTATGTATTGCTTATGAAATTAGACAATAACTAGTAATGCTAATAAACATTTTCTGGAGTCAGAGTTTTTAGACTTGAGCAATTTTAATGCCCAGATATCACAGGAGGAAGTGGGAGTTTATAGCTGACTGAACATTGATTTCATTCCATTGATTTTGTATTTAGATCACTTTGTTAAAGCCTATAGATAGTTTGGAGATAATTAATTTGCTGCAAATAGATTTTAGAGCACTTTAAGAGCTTCGTAGATGCAGCACTGGCAATCATTTAGGAATATTTTGGTTCAAAGACAGGCTAAGAATTGTTGGTCAATAGATTTCTGACTAAGCTTGAAACACTTGGGTCTGTATCCAGAATTTAAGTGTTGTCTCATAGAGAAATATCATTTGGGGAATCAATGGTGTGCATGATGGTCCCCTAAGTATATGATGTGTATTCATTATTATGACTGATTAACAACATTGATATTCAAAAAATTTACCTTGTGTGATTATACCATGTCCAGATGCAAAGGCTAGACCTGGAAGAAATAACTCCCTAGGGATGGAAATGTGCTACCATCCTAATCATATGGTCTCTTTTCTCACATGTCCTTTTGCAATGAATCAGGATTTTTTTAAAAAAAATTGTCTTTACTGTCATTTGTATTTTGATGCTATTGTTTTTGAGAATACTCATTGGTATGTATTTCAGTCACTTGGAACAGGAAATCCTTCAGCTGAAGGGGCAGATTAAGGCCACCATCACTCACTACCACATATTGTCTCAACACTTGGTTGACAGTGTGGCTTCTGGTTTTCCTGGAATGAATCTGTGTAATGAGTTTATTTTAAAACCTCTCTAAACACCGAGTACAAATGTGTTTATTACCACTAATGTCCCTGTATTAATGGTAATGTTTGGTCTTTCCTGGCTTTCTTAGAATGAATAATAAAATTGAATTCTTTGAGTATTATTTCAGATGAGCATTTTAAAATCCAAAAGAGGTCAGGTGGGACACTGTTTTTCTATGAATTTTTTGAGAATTGTTTCAGAGTGGTGTATTGCCAGCTGGTGAATTACTTTTTTAAATTAGAATTAAAGGACTTTTTCTTTTGTTCCTATTAGCTTTTTATAATATTTAATTCATTTTAAATGAAGATAGGCTATGAATCTTTTCAAGTAACTCACTTAGCACAAGTACCTATAGCAGATAGAGGTGTCATGTTCCTGGAGTGACACATTTGACTGAACAGTGTGGTCCATTTGAAGTGAGGCCCTGGTTTTTCAGGTCTGCCTGCACCCAGGCATAGAACAAGGGGAAGATTGCTGCATATCTTGTCTTTCGGGTGGTCTGCACTACTTCCCAACAGTCTAGAGTCATGAGTCATGATAGCAGGATGCAATAGTCAGAGTGGTCAGTTATCTGGCTAGCTTACTCTGCTTCTGCCCCAGTTAACCTGGGAATGATGACTCAAATGGACAAAAACAATTTAAGAAACCACACATATTTGCTGAGCACCAAATCTATGATCATCAAGGATTTGGTTCTATAGACGAAATGAAATAAAGATACCTGGATGGTACCCTGGTATGTTGCAGATGACATGTGAAACAACCAGGAAGCAATTAAGAATCACACAAAATAGTCTTAACTAGTGTATAGGAATTACAGAGAAGACAGTAGAAATTTGCATTTTGAAATTTGACATATATTTGGAATTTCTTTTGGAATTTCTCAACTTTGCTTGGATTAGTGCAGGTTTTTAATCTCCTGATGATGTCTGATTTCTTTAAAGGAATATGGGACATTCAGCAAAAATAAGACAAAGCGTTAAAACCAGCCCTGGACAGTAGTTAAAATGGTAAAAGCAGATTTTAATCAGGAACTAGTACAATAGGGAAAAGAGACCTTAAGAATTGGCACAATTACAAATACAACAAACGAAAGTGAGGGGAGCAGAGTGGGGGACGTGAGGTCCGTGGATGAAAAGTTACTAAATGGGTAAATAAAAGATAAATAAAGGATAGGGTGATTCTTGCTAAACTGAATAACAAAATTCTTACTGAAGGCAGACCAGGGTGGTCAGATATCACCTGGCAAGGGGAGGATGAAGAATTTGGTCTGATATTAAAAGTGATCAGATATGGAGAATGGGGATTTTCTGTATGCTGAAAGCATCATTTTTTTTTTAACTCAGCTCTACAAAGATGGAAATGAGAGCCCAAGATCAGCACCAGTTTAAGCAGAGGGCTCAAGGGAACTTGATTAAAGTTTGGTCAAGAAAAGAATCTTGGTCAGAGGGTTTAATCCAAACTTCAGAATTAAAGTGTAATTTCCACTCTCCAATGATTCAGAATCTATTCTGCCTTCAATTCTGTCTCTTCCAGTGTTATGAACTTCTTTATCAGAGTATCATGAAGGTCTTCCAGTGTACCAGAATTGTGCATAAATTGAAAAAGGCCTAAATTTGCAATGGGGGTCTATAAATGATTGGTTTCATGTGAAATATAATTTACTTGGAAGATTTTAGGAAAAAAATATATCAGTACAATAGCACCACAAGTTCCTATTATTGTTCTTTATAACAGCATGTGCCATGTACTTACAGCACAATAGAATAGAAGCTTAGAAAGGAGGTAGGACACCCCTGTGGAAACTCACATATTTTTCAAGAGAGGATGACTGTACGTGTGGATGAGTCTGATATAAATCAACTATTTAGTTTCTTCTAGGTTTTCATAATAAGTCTGAAGGAATTTGATGTTTAGTGTTTAACTTAAGGAAGTGTTAAATAATAATGTTGTTAGTAAGTGTAAGTGCATTTACTTCATGTCAACTCTATTCTCATTAAAGGAGAAAAGGATACAAGATAGGCTGATTCATATTCATAAAGGATTTCAAAACTCGTTATTTGAATTTGGGGGTAAGATCAAATTTGAATATGAACCTTTGTTTGGCTTCAAGAATCTATATTTCTTTGTTCCAAGATTTGGAAATTTACAGATAAGCTGCAATGTGTTTTGATACAAAAATCATTGTATTTGCAAACATATGCAGTTCCTGGGGAAGATAAGGTAGCATAATACCTGTGTTGACACTTCAAATACTTTTTTTTTCTCCTCAGATGGGGGCAGAGGGCATGGAAGGAGGTGCTTCAGGAAATCTGCATTCTCGGAAGCTGGTCAGCTTTACCTTGTCAGGTAAGAATGTCTTTAATTGTGGCATCTAGTTTGAAAGTGTCTGATTTCAAGGTAGGGATAGTTCAAAGGTAGGGATAGTTCCTTCTTTCTGCACAATCCCATAAATAACATGTGAATTTATTGTTTTGGAATTTTTTGGTCATACTTTTAGGAATTCACGTATACCTTTTTCCCTGATGAAATTACATCATTAATATAAATTCATAAATTATTTCTTCTACAAAGTTTTCTGATGATTAAAGGACTATATGTGTAGTTACTAAAACTGTAACACAATGTGCTAATTCCACTGAGGAGTTTTGATTATTTTGAACAATTATGCTTACTTCAGTTAGAGAAAGTAAAATTTTAAAGACTTGGTATACTTTTTTTAAAAAAAAGTCAAGGTATACTTCTTTCTGTGCAGGAATATACATAAAAATTGGAAAGTGAATAAAACAAGCTTTTGTTTGTTTTCTTGTTAGCTAAATATTCTGGCTGCTTGTGTGTTTCTCATACAGTTGATGTACTGCTCTTCTCTCTGAGCCATGAATTTGGACCCTTTTTCAGTCTGTGCCTTTGGTTCGGCTGAAGCCAGTGATTTAAAAAAAAAAAAAAAAGAATAATCTAAGTTTACTACCAAAGGAATTGTTTTTTTTTTTTTTTGCCAAAACATCAGTTTATACAATCTGAAAATTTTTGCATGAAAAATGTACATATCTATCTATGTATGTACTGCAATGTAGAAAAGGTGAGATGTATTTCATGCATAAGTCATTGTCAGAGAAGTCTGAAAGCCACTGATTTAAAAAAAAAAATGAACTGGTAGCTTTAAAGTCAAGGATACGCCAAGATCAGTATTTGAATTGGACTTCTAAAACAGACGATTGTATGACAACAAAGTCTAACTGATGTCTGTCACAGTAAGATGTTTTGTTTCATTGCTCTGTGATGTAGTGCTTCTGAAATTTAAATTAGACCCACTTTTCCTGACTGCAGAAAAAAATGTTGTGAGTGAAAACAGACGTTCTCAAAAGTGAGATCTTAAAATCAGACTCTTCCACAAGGCACAATTGTCACAAATGACTGAAGCATGCACATCTGTTCACATCCCTCCCAGCAGCTACATTTGCTTTTTCATAGTCCTTCCCCACTCCTTTGAGGCTGTTGCATGTGAAAACCTTTTTTGCTTTGGTTCTCTGGTGAATCTCACAAGTTTATACTGCAAATATAATGTAATACAACATGCTAATTGAACTGGCAGGTTATGGTCCAAATCTGGCCACTAATTATAGTTTTCTTTTCTTTTCTTTTTTTTTTTTTTTTTACTGAAAATTGAACCCAGGGGCTCTTTATTATTGCACTATATACCCAGTCCTTTTTGGTTTTAACTTTTCCATTTTGTGACAGAGCCTTGTTAAGTTGTTGAGGCTGGAATTGAACTTGTGATCCTCCTGCCTCAGCCTATTAAATAATTTTGTTTGGAACCCGTAGGATTTAAACAACATCTAGGTTTTTAGAAGGACAGCTAAAATCCTGTTGTACTACTCTCCTACCCCTATCTCCTGTTTTCTGAAAACATCTTGGTTGTTTAGAACTTCGTAGTCCTGAGAGGCTGCAGGTACTGAAATTCCTTGTTATAGTAGTGAACAATTATCTAACCCCAATAGCTCAGAAAATTTAAAGTTCAAACATACCATGGTTTCTTTTGTACAACATGAAATTTCGCTCTATACCCAATGGGTTTCTTAGTTTACAGTTATTGCCTCATGCTTTCAATTGATACCATTCTAAATATAACACTCACATAGTGATTTTAACTCCAGAGGGCATGCTATTAACTCACCATGGGAGAATGACCATCTGGAAGGTTAAAATTCTTAGAGCATTTCCTGAAAAGTAGAAAAATAAATTTCAGGGCACAGCCAAATGCTTCTTTTAATACTTCTTCTAGCATCCCACTTCTCTTCACATGGAGGCTGGTTACCTAACATCTGTTTTTGTTTCCAACCATAGAGTCAGACATTTGCAGATACACAGAAGTGGCTAAAAATCATAGGAGATGAAAGCAATTCCATAAGGTTAATTCTAGAAGCTTAATCTGTTTGTAACATATTGACTGTGGATGCTAATTTTTATCTGAGAGCATTGAAGCACTGTACAATGGTTGCCTACAAATATTCTACTCTTGAGTATCTAAGGATAAGTAGGAATACAAATAATTGAACTCTACAACTAAAATAAAAATTGTGCTTGAATTAATATTTTAAATCTCTTCCAAATAAGGCTGTAACTAGGGTATTTAACATGTCATACCTTTGTGACTTTAAGTCCTTCTTTGGCCTATCATGTGGTGTGGATATGAACAATAAAACATACACAAGAAAAAAGCAAGAAGCAAGAGCACAAGTGAAGTGGATAAAGGGAACTAAATTATCAGATTAAAAATGATTGGTAGTGTATTTATTAATGAAGATGTGTTTGTACTATGTCTTGTTTCTCATTGTGGAAGATTTTAATATTAGGGTTATCTAACAGTGACATCTTTCATCCCAGTGACTTAATCTTCTGGTGAAATGCTTCTTGTTTGAAGGAACACTTTTTGCAAATGGCTTAGCTCTGCCAGACTTTGCAGCAGCCACTTCTGTCCACATTCCTCTTCATTTATTGCAAAGAAATTCCTTGTCTGGAAGTAGATTTTAATGTCTAAAGTATATCATTCTGCCTCTGAGTCCAAGGCAAGCCTACTCAAAGGCAAGAAAATAAATGTGTAAATTGCATTTCCCTCTCAAAGCGACTTTATGCTAAATAAAATCAAGTGAAAATGTGTGGCACTATTAAACTGACAGTACAGTGCAAACGCTGCATTTCATAGTGACTGCTTAGTTTATGAAGCATCAGCAATAGGGTCTGTGAGGACAATGAAATTACAGCAGCTTTTCTGAGTGTCTGTCTAGTCCTTTCTTTGTCTCTTCCCTTTCTTGCTGGTTGTCAGGCTAAAGGTTGTATTATATTTCATGCAGTGTCATTGACACAAGGTCCTTTGGTTGAATACTTCAGTATTTGCTGACGTATTAAGCTTCCTCCTTCTCCTGCCAGTTATGTGTCACTGGGCAGTCCTTACCTGCTTTCTTCACATATGTCCAGGCCATGAGTTCTTGTGAGCCTTTGGAAGCCCTCTCCAGTTTGACCTGGAGGATTCTATGGTCAACCAGCCCCAGGCCAATTCTCTTCTCCTAAGAAAGACCTTCTAGTTTCAGAAATGGATTTCCATGAGATGACCCTGGAGACCCTTTGAAAAGCCCCAGGTTTTGATGCTGTCTGAACTAGAGTGTTTAGGACCTCTCCAGACTGATCCACATAAAGTTACTTACATTCTTTTCTTCCAGAAGTTTTCATGATTGCTTAGCTCCCAGAACTACATTAATCCACTGATAATCTCAGAACTGGGGAACCAGGAGGGCCATCTTTTTTTCCTGTCATTTTTGTATCTCTTAGCCTGACTATTTTTTTTTTAAGTATCAGTTTCCTCACTAAACAGACTTTAGCTAGGACATTTATGCACATGACAATTTGTGAAACTAAGGTGAGTTCTAGGACATTCATCAAATATTTAAATTACAGACTATAGAAAAAGTATCTGTAGAACTATTTAAAATAGCAGGGAAGACCCACCTCTATGAATCATTTCTGGTCTACTCTTTCCACCTAATATTCTTCACACTTATGAAACATATAGCATTTTAAACATGGCAACCATGAATGTGTACTCTGAAGCTTCCTCTCTAATTAAACTTAATTCAAACTCATTTCCATATGTATATAAAAGATTCATTTTTTTTCATGAAGGAAGTTGTTGTCCAAAAAACTATTTAAGGATTTTTCTCAAGACACCGTCTAAAACTCTGGTTGCCAAATTACTACTCTGGGAAAGGTGGTAAAGATGCACCTGCTGGCATCTAAAGGTTCCCAGGATAGGGAGCGCAGGGGTGTGAGGTGGTGGTAAAGGTTTGGCTTCAGTTTTACAACCTGTGAGGAAAACCATCTTTGAAATTGCAGCCATAACCCACTTGTCCTCATTTGTCCAAGCAATTATAGCGTGAATAAATTTTGTTGTTGTTTTACCGAATTGTTGTGTTAGAACCTCTTGTGTGATTAAGAGTGAATTATCTTTGAGCTGTTGTTCTAATCAGGATATGTGGATCCTTCCTTCTGCCTTTTTCCATCCCTCCCTCTTCCCTCCTCCTCCTCCTTTGTCTCTCCCTCCTTCTCTCTCTTTCTTTAAAGATCTTAGGGCAGTTGGGCTAAAGAAAGGGATGTTCTTCAATCCTGACCCTTATCTTAAGATGTCCATTCAGCCAGGGAAGAAGAGCAGTTTCCCCACCTGTGCTCACCATGGGCAGGAGAGAAGGTCTACTATCATCAGTAACACCACTAATCCTATTTGGCACCGAGAGGTAAGACGGCCCTTAGGGGTCTTCTACTTGACAGAATGTCAGCCAGGTTCATTGTTCACCTTCTGAGCTCTATGCACCTTGAACTATTCATGGGTGTGCGCAATATGGCTAAGATGTCTAGGGTTCTGTTGGAAGGAGGGTACAATTAGACTGAATTTTTCTATCTCATTAAAGTTGGGTCCAAGACAGTTGAGGTATTTACTTCAGGGACACAATTTAAGGGTCTGCCAAAAGATTCAGTAATCAAAATAAATATCTTAATGAAATAAAGATGTATATATTTATTTTATTTTATTTTTATGCAGTACTGAGGATTCAACCAAGAGGGGCTCTACCACTGAGCTACATTCCTACCCCTTTGTTAATTTTTTTATTTTGCAACAGTGTCTTGCTAAGTTACTGAGGCAGGCCTTGAACTTTCAGTATTCCTGACTCAGCCTCGTGAGTCATTGGGATTACAGGCACATGACACCATGCGTGACTTAATAAATTATTTTTTTTTTACAAAATTAAAATCAATGCCAGAAATTTGCCATGAACAAAATTCCAAAATTTTAAATAAGAACAGGATCAGTAATTATTACTTGGAAGAACCTGAGTAAAAGTTTTATTTAAAATTTTGATATTTTTGTCCTAACATGAATTCTTTTCAAATTGAAGGAACTTCTCTGTGAGCTTTGGCAAATCTTTTGTGGATTTCTAGATTTTTGTTGCATGAGCCATTCTAAGAGTTGTCACCCTGAGTGATGGCAGATTGTGTTGATGGTATTTTAGACTTCCTCACAGCGACAGTATGCTGCCCGTCATCCTAGTGCCCATATCAAGCAAAGGATTTTCTCATTAGAAATCCGGAGAGTCAGAGAATGAACAAAAAGACACCATGTGGTTACTTACAGCTTGAACAAGGCATCAACTCTTCCACCATTTCTCAGGGATCCAGCAATATGTTCTAACAATATTGTAGAGGTATTTAATTGGAGAGAGATAATGCAGTAGATCTAAAACCAATTTGAGAAGACATGTGACACACTCTTTGATCCTTGTCAACACAGCAAAATGTGTCTCCTGGGCAGTTGCTCTGGTTATCTGAACAGGCAAACATCACTTGCATTCTTATACATGGTTTAAAAAACTACACATAGGATCTCTTAATAAGAAATAATACTTAGAGGCATACCCCTCAATCTAACATATTTCAAAGCCTAGAAGACAGAATTAATCTCAATATAATCTCTAGAAGGCACATAGTGAATATGGTATTGTAATAAGCAATAACTTTATTTCTAACATTTTGTATTTGCAAGTTTTCTTGAGCAGTCATCAGTGCAAGCCTGATAGGGGAGGCTATGGAATGAGATAATCATCTCTCTGTTTTGGATTAAGTAACCAAAGCCTGCTGGGTATGGTGGTGCATGCCTGAAATCACAGCAGTTTGGGAGGCCGAGGCAGGGGAATTCGGAGTTCAAAGTCAGCTTCAGCAAAAATGAACAGCTACTCAGTGAGACCATGTCTCTAAATAAAATACAAAATAGAGCTGGGGATGTGCTCAGTGGTTGAGTGCCCCTGAGTTCAACCCCCTGGTACTAAAAATAAATAATCAAGTAAGCAATCAAATAAACCAAAGGTTAAAGTGTTTATGTGACTAACTACTCAAGAGGCAGAAGTGGAGCTTGCTTTCTCATTCTAAGTAAGTGCTTTTTTTCCATAAAGCAGATGCCAAATTGCCTGGCCCTTGGAGAACTTTCATTGTTATGACTAAATAAGCGTTGTGGTGCCTAAGCACCAAGCTGGTTGGCACTATTCACATCACTGCAGTTGTGTGGATTCCGTCAGGGAAAGAGTGACATTATTTTGGTTAGTTTTCTGGCCCTATCTTTTATTTATTCTGATATCAGCTTCAAAAAGGAAATTTTATTTTTTATTAATTTATTTATATTAACTAGGTATATGTGTCAGCAGAATGCATTTTGATTCATTGTACACAATTGCAGTGTAACTTTTCATTTCTCTGATTGTACACAATATAGCATCACACCATATGGGTAGTCGTACATGTACCAAGGGTAATGATGTCCATCTCATTCCACCATCTTTCCTACCCCCGCACCCTCCCTCTCCTTTGCCCCATCATAGTTTCTCCATTTTACCCATGCCTCCTCCCTCCCATCTTAATGATAAAATGAGTAAAGCTTTTTATATTTATTTTATATACTTATTAACTCCAATTTAGATTTCCCCAATGACATTCTTAAATAAAAACAAAGCCTATCTTAACTTCTTGCTTTTGTTTTCTGTCCCAGAAAAAATGACCCCATGAATAATGACAAGAAACAAATGTTTGTTCATATTTGTTGCAGTTGCAACCATTGTAGACCTAATTATGTTTTCAAACTGACGTAGGCGGAATCCTTATATGAGGAACCTAAAGATGGGAAAGGCCAACTGTATGAAGGCATAAATTATGTAAATAAAATGCATCTGTTTAAAGAAAAAAATGACCCCATGTGTCTTTTAAACTTGGATAATAATTCCATTTAAAAACTGTTTTAATACTTTTTAGGGATATCACAGTACTCTATAGATGTTCCTACTGTAAGCACTAAATGAAAGAATATTATAAACTATGTTTTGCAACTTCAAAAATCCTATGAGATTAGGAGTTTAAAGGGCTATTAATAAAATATTTCAGTTCATTCTAATCCAGCACATATCAAAATACAGGATTCATAATAGCCATAGATTTTTCTAGTACTATGGACCCTGTATATCATTACAATTTAAGAGAGATCATTTCCTACACTGTAAAGTGTTATATTTGTCCTTGTTTTGAACCAACATGTTCCCTGCTTTTGCTTTCAGAAATATTCCTTTTTTGCACTTCTAACTGATGTCCTGGAAATTGAAATTAAAGACAAGTTTGCCAAGAGCCGTCCTATTATCAAACGTTTCCTGGGGAAACTAACCATTCCAGTCCAGAGGCTGCTGGAGCGACAAGCCATTGGGTAATCAGCTCTGACTTCTAGGGATCTTGTTGAGATAAGTTTGTACAGAAATGACTTGGTAGCCCTAGGACTTTTCTTACTGACAAGAAGTGACAACATAATTCTTTTAAAAATAAAAGTGGCCTTACATTTATTAAAAGTATACGGGGTCAATAGCACTTCATGATAATTATGTATCTTTTTTTCTTGGCATCTATTTCTTTTTCAAGATGTACGTACCTTTTGTATTTCAGAATCATATTTCAGTGTTCGATTGTGTTTTTAATGTATTGAACTCTGTCTATAAAACTCTCCCTAGAGCAGAATTTAGTGTCAGAGGATACTTACTTTATCCTAATTAAGCCCATCTGGAGAAGCTATTATTTCTGAAAAATAAAAGCAACCTTGTTTGTGGCCTTTCAAAACAAGACCTAGATAAGGAGGTATAATAGTAAGCTCCTAGACATATGCATTCATTCAGGCATCAACAGAATCTTAACATGTGATCCATGCTTTTCTTTGTATGAGTTTTTAGTAAGTTGTGAGTAAAGAAATCATAGCATGTTTCCATTCTATATTATATTGAACATGGTTTTACATGGTAAGTACCAGCAGACTCTAACACATGTGCTCTGAGATGGCACTAAGAGGCATCTGGTTGTGTACCTCTTTTACTGTAGGATAACATTTTGGACATATGGTGGTGGTGGTTATGGTAGCAGCAGAAGTAACAGTAGTAATTAGGAGTCACAATAATCACCTAAGATGCTGGGAGTCCACTGTATGTCAGAGGTTAAGTATATCACACTCATTTGCTCATGTAATCTCAACAGCAATGAGAGGTAGATAATGTAATAATACTAATTTCAGAGAAGACTCCTAGGCTAATAAGCAAATGGTGGAGCTGAGATTTAAGTTTGGATCCATCTGCTATAGAAAGAACCTGGTGTCTCTGAAACGTCTCAAGGACTGGCTATAATGTAATATTACTGTTACCTATGGAGAGTTGATATTTCATACTCACTCTGCTACTAATCAACTCTTTGATTTTGGCAAATCACAATTTTCTTGGTCTTTAATTTTCTCATCTGAAAATTAAAACATTTGGACCACATAATCTCTAAGGCCCCTTCAAAGCCCCAAACTCAGAGATTCTAATGGAGTCTAACCCTCCTGATGGTCAGAGGCAGTGGATTTTGTGGTTGAGCCATCCATAGCAAGTCGGAAGAGTATATGAAGTTCTAACAACCTGACTTACCTGATGAAAGCTGAGAAATCTCAATTGTTTTTAAGAATAACATTTAGAGCTTCTAATAGATATATTTTGGAAAGCTTTTAAAATTATTTTTAGCATTTATAAAAAGTGAAAGATTATAGAGAGTGAGAATTGAGTACAGTGAATATAACATATTTATCATTTAATTTATATAATTATAATCATGTAATTTACATAATATATATGACACTTGGTGGTGTCAATTTATGTATGCCAGCAATAACAAACAAGGAAAAATAAAATCTCATGATTGAAAATGTTATTCACTTTCTGGCTTTTGATTTACTCTTTTAAAGAATTGAACATCCAGAGAATTACCAGTCCTGGATTCTATGTGTACTAGAAGCAAGTCCAACATGAATTCATAAAATATCAGAATCATGGATTATTTCTAAGTAGATTAAAATCACTGCAATGATACTACATATTAGCATATTAGCTGTTACATATAAATCTATATTCTGATATGATTATTGTATTCCATCAAATAATTGATACCTCTTGAAAAATGCTGTATTTGATTGGTTAGGCATTTGGTAGCATGCTGTTCTTTGAAATTGTTGAACTTTTACAGGATGCAGTTGTAGAGGATGAGCTAGAACTCCTAACTAATAACCTATTTCAAGAATATTTGTTTGAACATGACATTTACCAGAGCATGACTTCTGTTCCTTCCAAAAGGCACGTCATGATCCTATGCTTTGTCAATTCCTCTGATTATGTTAGTAAGAGACTGTCTTAGTGAGAATGTTTTTGCACTCATTTTTTCATAATAATGTATAACACATTCTTTTAGAATTATATATGACAGTGAGAAACAGAATGAATCAGGGTGAGCAAGACCAGCACAGCTGCTGAATCCCTGGACAGGTACTCAGTGAATGGGGAAACTCTGGGCTCAGAATCGACAGTGAATAGGGAGGGTTCCCTGTACTTACAAGTTGAATAGTTGAGTATCTTGTCAGTTAAAATTCATTTTCCAAGTAAAAAGTTTCACTTGTTAATTAGTTTAATTCATATATGTATATATATATATATACACACACACATGTTATTATATATACATAATTATATATTACGTGCCTACTAAATGTCAAGCACTGTGTTGGGCATTGGAGAGGAGATAGTGAGCAAAACAGGTAGATATAACCTTTCCTTACAGTTCTTACAAATATTTATTTCCTAAATAAAACTCATCAGTTTTATAAATCTTCATCATTAACACTAACACTTTGCTTTTATTGATTGAGGAGGAGGAGGAGAGGAGGATTGATTTATTTTTAACCCAGAAATGATGATTTTATTATTAAAGGACTGAGTCTCCAAAGAGATGGGTGAACAACAAAGTTGAGAGCAGGTCCAACTCATGCATTAGTGGACAAATATCAAGCATTTCTGTGTGTTGGGCACTGTCTAAATATTGGGACAATAGTGGTGAAGAAAAGAAAAAGACATCCCTGTCATTATGCAGATAAAAGTCATCATATAATGTTATTTGTACACTCTAAATGGCTTTGAACATACCTGTAGTGTCTAATAGTTACAGACCCCTTTGCATTACTTTACAGAAGAATTTTTGTTTAAATAGAAAAAGCATTGATATTATTCAAATCAAGGTGGCCCACAAGGCAATATGTCATTATGATGTGTGCTACTGAAACTGGTCTGGAATCACTGAGATGTATGTAAAAATGTGGTGCAGTGACTGCCAAGGAGGGGCTTCTGTTGACACAGAATCTGTGTCTATTCCCAGGTCTGGCACTTAATAGTTGACTGGCTGCATCTTAGGTTCCCTCCTCTAGAAAACAGGGTTACCAATACCTCTGGCTTGCTAGGAGAATGAAAAGAAATAATGCACATAAAGCCCTCAGCAGAGTAATACAGGGCACACAGTAAGACATCTGTATGGGAAATGAAACATCAAAGCATCAATCAAAAAAGTGAAATTATCACAATGTCATCTCTAGGCAAGAAAAAGAACTCTCTAAGAAAGTCTTGCTTTGAGACCAGAATAATTTATAAGAACTGAACTGGGATTTTAACTTAATATGTGTTCTTTTGAACAGACAATGCCTATTAGGTGTGTACTGAGGAAATAGAGAAGAACAGAGAAATTATGCAGAGTTATGCCAAATAGCTGACTGAATACTCTAAACTGTCCAGTAATGCAGATGTTAGGCAGAGGCATGATGTTCTCCTTCTTAAATAGCCATTAGAGGGCAGTGTGAGAACAGAGATGGTATGATTTGATACTATCCCATTGATTATTTTTTAATGAAGAAAAAAAAATCTAATTCAGAATAAGAGTTGCTTGCACTCAAGCAAATTAAGTAATTGCATTTGACTTCAAAAAATAGACATGGTCTTGAAATAGACGGAGAATTTCATCCTTGAGGAAAGTGGCTAACCAAGCCTGGCAGCAAGGCTGGGCAGAAACTGGGCAGACCCAGTTGTGAATCCCTCCAGCACTATGTTGGGGACATGACCCCTCTGGCCCCATAGTGACACATTCTCCAACCATCCCATCAGCATGGCTCACAAGGTGCCTTGAGAATCAGTGATCTGCCAGGCTTCCTCACAGTGAGGGGCAACAGGTCCACCCCTACCTTTGCAGGTGAGGAAGGAGAGGTGAGTAGTCCATCTAATCATACCAGCTGGGTCTGCTGCCTGTGTATGGCCCTTTCCTGTGTTTCCATGTTGCTCTCTCCTAATAATTTTCTTTTCAACAAGGTTTCCTTTTATCCCTGGCTTTATAAGTGTTCACATGGGCTATAATGTGCCTTGTATTTTCTTTACTTATGAGTCTGAAATTTTCAAGGAAAATATGTGGGATTTGGGGGTGCCTGTGGGAATAATGTGAAGGCTGATACCTGTGTAGTAAGGATGTGAGAACCATTTCTCCTCCTGCAGGGATCAGATGCTCAGCTACAACCTTGGCAGAAGGCTCCCAGCTGATCATGTGAGCGGGTACCTGCAGTTTAAAGTGGAAGTCACATCTTCTGTCCATGAAGGTGAGGTGCCTGTACACATCCATAAACACTTGCTAAATCTTGCTCTCTGGGCAGTTGGCATTTGAACAGAATTGAGTTTGTGTTCTGTTCTGAAAATAAAATAGCTTTCAAATAATCATTTGAAATATGATAATCACTTGCTGAAATTTTCCAAGCAGAGAGGAAAGCCTGTTTATCACAAAATGTCTCTTAGAATTTCACCTGCATTTTGAAACTAAGCAGCAGAATTCCTGCAGGAGTTTAGCATATACATAACTCACATGTCAAACTCGCTACATGCTGTGTAGTCGGGTAAGTGTTGAAACTCAGCAAGTTGGTAATACCACCAAATGGCTTTAGTGGGATGACCAAATTCTTTGAACCAATTGGTCACGAGATCATGAAAAGTTCATTTGCTATTTCTAGTTCACCTTTACAAATGCTGCTTTCTCATCCAGATACGTCTCCAGAAGCTGTTGGCACGATCCTTGGAGTCAGTACTGTGAACGGAGATCTAGGAAGCCCGTCTGATGACGAGGACATGCCAGGGAGCCATCATGACAGCCCTGTTTGTGCTAATGGACCAGTGTCTGAGGAAAGTACTGCTGAGGGGACACCCAAGCATTCTTTCAGGACTAGTTCTACTCTGGAAATAGACACAGAGGATTTAACCTCTACTTCTTCAAGGACCTCACCTCCCAGAGGCCGTCAGGATTCACTCAATGATTATTTAGATGCTATCGAACACAATGGCCCTTCCAGGCCAGGAGCAGCAACCTCCTCTGAGAGGGCCATGGGAGCCTCTCCAAAACTAAGGAGTAGTTTCCCCACTGACACAAGACTCAATGCAATGCTTCATATTGATTCTGATGAAGAAGACCATGAGTTCCAGCAAGACCTGGGTTACCCATCTTCCTTGGAAGAAGAAGGTGGTTTGATCATGTTTAGCAGGGCATCGAGAACTGATGATGGCAGCCTGACATCTCAGACAAAGCCAGAGGATGACCACCCAGTTGAAAACGAGGAAACCTCTCTGCACGAAGCAGCTTCCTTTGAGGATAAGCCAGAGAACCTTCCCGAGCTTGCAGATGGCTCCTTGCCCTCAGGCCCAGCACCAGAGGAAAGCGAAACTGGCCCAGAGTCTCAACCCAGTGCTGACCAGGGCAGCACTGAGTTGTGTGGCTCCCAAGAGGTTGATCAGCCTACGAGTGGGGCGGACACGGGGACTTCTGACACATCAGGAGGGAGCCGAAGAGCCATCAGTGAGACCGAGTCCCTGGATCAGGGGTCTGAGCCGTCCCAGGTGTCCTCCGAAACAGAACCCAGCGACCCTGCCAGGACAGAGAGCGTGAGTGAAGCCAGCACCAGGCCTGAGGGAGAGAGTGACCTGGAAGGTGCTGACAGCTCCTGCAACGAGAGTGTGACCACACAGCTGTCCTCAGTGGACACTCGGTGCTCCTCCATGGAGAGTGCACGGTTTCCCGAAAACCCAGCCTTTTCTTCTCAGGAAGAGGAAGATGGGGCCTGTGCAGCAGAGCCCCCCAGCAGTGGCCCTGCTGAAGGGTCTCAAGATCCCATATGCACTCCGGGTTCTTTACCTGTGGTCCAGGTGCCCAGTGGGGAGGAGGAAGGGCCAGCGACAGATTCAGCCACATTACCTGACCAGGAGGAGCTTGGGGAGGTCTGGCAGCGGAGAGGGAGCCTAGAGGGAGCTGCTGCTGCTGCTGCTGCCCCTGAAAGCCAGCCCCAGGAAGAAGGTGATGCTGGGGATGCCCAAGGCGCTTGTGAAGGGGCCATTGCCCAGGAGGAAGGCGCTACTGGAGGTAGGATGCAGGAGACTCAGTGCTTGGAGAGAAGTTGTGTTGTTTTCCCCTCAATGCAAATTATATTGCAGTTGCATATGACCTGAATTCCTTGCTGTGGGCTTCTGGAGTTAGCAAAAGGAATGAGAAGGGAAAGAGGGGGAAGATCAAAAATAGAACCAGAAAGAGCTGGAAACAGGGAACAAATGTATGGGCATTTGTTAGGCCTCAGTTCTAAATCAGTATTTATTGTTATTATTATTTAATACATCTTCTGTGGCTAAAATAAGAGACCTGGCAAACAAGAGGTTTCAAACTTAAATAATGAATTTCTAATGGGTCCTGATACAAAACCAAATAGACTGGCAGCTTCGACCTAGTATAATCTACAGAGGTTATTAAGAAAACCTAAGTCACATCCCTTCATAAAACCTCAGTGCAGCAGGTTAGTATGTGCTTTGCATCAGTTTTTGTTTTTGTTTTTGTTTTTTGTCCTGCATAGCATAAGAGATGTCAATCAAGTTAGGTGATACATTCTGACACTTGAAGCACAAGCCAGTGTCTGAAGACGCAAATTTAGACATAAAATTTGCATTGAATCTCGGTGAATGTGGCTCTCTAGAATGATTCTTTTATAATGTTTTAATAGAGATGCATTAAAAAGTTAAAGGGTAATTATTTCATATGCCAAAATAAGATAGACTGAAATTGGCATGGTTTTCTTATTCTATAATTAATTTTTCTACCGAAATTATTTCTTCTTTTTCCTCTTTCTCCTGTTTTATTTTTGCTTCTTTCATTATCTTGTGGCCTTTTTGTACCCTAAAGCATTAGTGCATGTGCAGAGCAGAGGCCAGGTGAGTGAGGGAGGAGGAGGGGGACAAAGGGGGAGGAAATGTATGCAGAGGACATTGCTTTATAAATAAATTGCTATTTATTCTCTTTTTTCATTTCTTGATTCTCCTATGGGAAATGAGACTACAGAAAACAGATACCAGCCTCAGGATTGATGTTAGATCTTTTTTTTTTTTTTTTTTTTTTAAATGAAGACTGTTTAACACTGAGAGTGAAAGCAATACCTAGGTAACTTTGTATCTTTAATCCTAGGTTCTCAAGCCAATGGCCACCAGCCCTTGCGGTCACTACCTTCAGTGCGCCAGGATGTCAGCCGGTACCAGAGGGTGGATGAGGCTCTCCCACCAAGTGAGCAGCTGTTGATTAAAGGGCCCACCTTAATCACAGGGTGCAAGGGACACAAGCAGATCCAATCCATGGGTCCTAGGAAGGCAGGAGTCTTGGGGTTGCTCCTTGACAGGGTGATGTAGTCTGGAAAATGCTATGTCCTGACTCTCTTGGGCCTCACTCTGTTGAATGAAAAGACAGCTGGGGGAAAAGTAAACACTGCACTGCCTGTGGAGTAAATACTGTAATCATGGAAGTAAGATCCAAAAATATTGGGCAATTGGGTGCATAATAGAATCTTTAAAAATTATGCCTAATAGCAGCATGAATTTTCATTCAGTTAGCAGACAAATTGGTCCAGTTTCTTAGAAAAGCCTCATTCTGAGTAATATACTGCCTTTTTGTTTACTTCCATCTTTTTAAAATAATTGAGCACAAGATTCTGAAGTCTTCCCTTGGGGATATGAAGAGAAATGTTATTAATCTCAGAAATTAGCCTCCTGTTTTGGGGCCCATGACAGTTATCTGGGGATTTAAAAGATGTTTCATTTCTTTTACTTTCAGGAGACACTTAGCACTTAGAGGAGAGATGGTTGAGGATTAGTGGTGCTAGGAAAGAGTTACACAGTCTGCATTCAAAGTGCCAGGCATAGTCTGGACAAAATTTAAACTCAATTTAAATTTCTAGAGTCCCTTAAAGTAGTGTTGTTCTGTGAAACCAATGCATTTTTGAGGAATAATTATACAGATCAGTAAATACTGTGTGTAAGAAAACATTAGAAAATGTACCCTTAGCTTTGTTGCTTTTCTCTTCTTATTCACCCTCTTCTCTGTTCACCCATCTTATGTGGGATCATGGCAAGAGCTTTGACTGTGTATTTTGAAAATGAGGGATGTAAGAAGAGGAGGGCATGAATTTAAAGGGCCAAAATACCGAATTCATTCTTAGTTTTGGAGAAGCTAACAAAAGAGATAAATAGTACTATCTTTTTTTTCAAAAATTGGCTTAATCCTTTTGAAATTCTGTTGTACCAGATCCTCCCCTTGTTTGTACATTTGGATCACTAAAACCTATTAGTCATAGAAAACCTATTTTTAAAATACATTTTTTAAAAATATATTTAAAAAAATAGAACAAGGGGCTGGGATTGTGGCTCAGTGGTAGAGCGCTTGCCTGATATGTATGAGGCACTGGGTTTGATTCTGAGCACCACATATAAGTAAATGAATAAAATAAAGATTTATCAACAACTAAAAAAATATTTTAAAAAATAGAACAAGAGATTAATTAATCATTTGTCATCTGAAGCAGGTGGAGGGACAAGGAATTAAAACTTCCTATAGTTTACTCTGGGAGAAAAGATCAGAGTCAGGAAAGAGGAATATTCCTGGGAGATATTTAGGTATAATTGGAGCAAAATGAATTGAAAACGTGACGAATTATTCTGGGAGACCTTTGTTTGTATGTGTATGTAGATTAGTAACCAGAGCTTCTGGGGGCAGGATAAGGAGAAAGCATTGCACAAGTTCATCCATTAGTGGCATCCCCCTAGTCACATCAATTGCTCCAATTTTTGTTGGACATAATTTTGTTCGTTAATTTATAGTCACTGAGGATGAGGAGCTTCTTGCTGAAGTGAGAGCAATTTAATGGTCCATTCTATTTCATGAGTGACAGATGAATAGGCAGACAAATCCCAAGACATGTCCCCCTTGTTCAGTGGTTTTCAGTGGTGCCCCCTAGTAGGGGGCACTTGGGGTCTGTGGACTGTCTTTCATCATAATAGTGTTTGCAAAGAGTTGCTGGATGTAGTGGCTGAGCCCTGAGATGCCAAACCTCCTGCAATGATGGGACAGTCTGACCCAACAAAGAACTGTCTTGCCCAGAATTCTAACAGTATGCCCACTGAGAAATATGCCTCATTCCTGATTTATTTAGTACTCAATAAATGATGCTTTTTTTAATAAAATATAACCAGAATTTTTATATTTTAAAAACTCAGAACTGAAAATGCCTTCCTCTAAAAATGAGATTAAGTACACACACAAATACCACACACACACACACACACACACACATTGCAGGAGCAAGCAGTTTGCAAATTTGAGGATTTATGGATTTATACAATTGAGGTAGGTAGGTTACAAAGTAGGGTCTGAGTGTGCCTGATGACTGTTGAGCTCCGTCCCCCATTCCCACGTGTGTCTCATCCTTCCTACAGTCGACTGCCCTCACTAGTTGTCTGTCCCCACCCGGCCACTCTGCCTTCCTTTTCTGGCTAGACACTCTATTGCCACCTCTGACCTTCCTTGACCTACAACTGTGACATCTGCATTCCTCTGTGTCTTTTGCCTTCTGTAGCTCAGCTGAGGGGCATGTGGTTGGAGTGTGCAGATTGGTCCATCTCTTAAATGACCTCACTGAATTAGTTTAAGGCTAACAGCTCTACTTTTCAAAAGAAGTATTTCTTATAGTAACTCAAATTTGTGTAGTACTATTTTACACTTCAATAAAGCACTTTCACATGCTTTCTTTTTTGTTGTTTGGATAATTTTGTGAAGTAGATCAAACTTATATATAGTTTATGGATTGATGCGTGGAAGTCAGCTAATCTAATCGGATTGCTCGATTTTATATATGAAGCTCAGATGAATTAAGGAATTTATTTAAGATCCCATGCTAGTCAAAGTTGAGGCAGTTTCAAACATTGCTTTTCCTGCAACAGGTAGTCTGATCTGAGATTGGAAGGGAAGGGGCTGTTGTGTGGGTAGGTGAATGTAGATTCTGAAAGTCTGCATAGAAGCAAAGGAGTGGTATGTGATTTATTTGATACTAGTGACATCTCAAATCAGACAGCTTGGGAGTTTCACTAAAATTTCATTTTGATTTCCTACTTTGAGGTCAGACCCAGGAAGCCTCTGCACATGCTCAACTTTCTTCCCTTACAGGATGGGTTTAGGCAGCAGGAACCTCCCTGGGGAAGCCCCTCCCCCGCCACAAGAGCAGTCGCAGTGACTTTGTGAGCCAACATTGGGTCCTGACAGGTTTCCCCTGTTCAGTGTCTGTGTCAGCCTGTGTGACCTTTTTCTCTCTGTGCCAGTCACTGTCCATACCCTCAGGACAAACTACAGAAGCAGGGTGGCCCTCAAACTTGATTTTTAGAAATTATTCCTCACTATTCTTGTTGTCGTTATTGTTATTTTAATATATTTTCACCTTAAAAATATTTGCTACAACATACAGTAAGGAAACTGTCCAGCAAACTTATGCTTTTCTCTGGTGATTAAACACCCCAATTAAGAGGATTCGGTGGTGGTCCTGGCTTTGCCACTTCAGTCCTATAGCTGATCACATCAGAGTAACACTTAGTTCCTGAGTTTCTATTCTTGAATTCTTTTTATCTAAATCAGGGTTTTCTGGCTTGTTTGCTGCTTCTTCCATTCTCATTCCTCCTATCTCAGGATTGGGGACAGATCTTAGACTTGGTACCAACTGCTCAGCTGTGGGAGTGATTTACCAGTTGATCCTCCAAATCTCACTCCCACCTTAGGCCATGAGCATTCACTGTGACCTTGTGGGCCATGTACCTATAACCACTGATCAAGAGATGTTCTCATGATTCATAGTAATAAGAAAGTCCAGGCCTTGGAGGAGGGCTGGCGCTGTCCATAGCCTTCCAAGGAGATAGGGTGGACCTGAATGTGAACTGAGCACAAATTCCAAGACGTGCAGCCCTTGTTCAGTGGTTTTCAGTGGTGCCACCCAGTAGGGGACATCTGGGGTCCGTACCTTTCATCATAACAGTGTTTGTTATTAGCAAACAACATTATCAGCATGACAATTTTGGGCTTTTTAGCATTAAGGGGAAAAAAAAAGAGCCATCCCAGCCCCTCTGAAAAACTGTTTTCTTTTCCTCTTATTGACTCCAGTGTACTTATAACTGAACCCCCTGCTGTACTGGAGATGATGTGGATTATTGTGTAAGTGTTTTTTCCCCAGAAGGATAGTTTTTCTAGGAATAGGAATGGATTCAGGATGAATGCTCTGCGTTGGTGAGCTCTGATAGGATCCCAGCATGGTTGCTGGATTATGTATAGGATGGGTGCAAATGTGTAGGCCTGGAAAAATAGAGGGAGACATATACCACCTCTTTGTGATTGCATACTTTTGTGATTAAAGCATCCTTCCAAATGAAAGCCTGAAAGTAGACAGCAAATCCGAAAAGTGTAATTAATCCTCGAGTTTCAACTGTGTTTAGGGCCAGAGGTTCTTAATCTCTAGAGATTAAAATTGAGTTTGGAGGAAAACAAATTGATGCTCTTAAACTAAAAAGCTACTTGCTTAAAATTAAAGAATAAGGGACAAAATATTCAGCTACCTGAACTTTTAAAACTTTTTTCTTTAAATAAAATATAGCAGAAAACAGCACATTCAGCCTCCTGAATATTTTCCAACTGAACATACCTCTACAACCAAACAGCACATCATCAACACCCTAGAAATCCTCTTTGGGCCCTCTGCCAGTCATAACTCCCCCTGATGGGGAAGAGACCCACCATCCTGACTCCCCAATCATGTTTTGTTTTTTGCACTTTATACAAATGGAATCAGACTCACTTGAGTGTTAAAATAACAACAACAGCAAAGAAATCTTTTAAACACAACCATCTGTCATCTATCACAAAGTTTATATTTTTTCCTTCAAACTAATTTATTATGGCTGTACCAGCTTGCCATTTTGGTGATGATACCATAGTTTTATAATTTTCTCATGGTGGACTTATAAATGTAACCATTCAGGATTGGGGTTTATTAAGCCCACTGTAACCAATTTAAGCTCCCACCCATAGTCCTTTCTCCCCCTTGATTGATACAGTTCATTGGCTTCCCCTGATATATATGGAGCTCATTCCCTTTGGCCATTGACTTTCCTTCCCCATCAGCCCATTTGCTGAGATAAATTTACATCTCATCTGATCACTAACCAGGCCGTCCAATGGAGACCAAAGTCCAGTTTGAGGGAGTGGGAAAGAGGATGATGACAAGAACAGAAGGATCAATAGTACAACCCTGCCCCCTTCCCACACATGTTGATTCTAAAAACTCTTAAGACCTTACCTGGTCCCCGCCTGCCTCTTTGCCCTGCCTAGGGAATCAGTGCTATGGCAGTGGCCATGGAGAGAGTTTTACCAGCTTTCTAAATCTCGGATTTCCTCTTACTGTCTTAACTATTTAGAGTGGAGTATTTATATTTAAGTTTCAGGATATCAAAGAGGCCACTTGTTCCTAGATTTTAATGTGGGGTACTTAAGCTGAAGTTTAGCTTCTTCTGAACCCACATCTCATGACCTCTGAGAAATCTAGCATTAGCTCCATGAGTTTGTTCAGTAAATTAGCTTCAGTAATAAGTGCTTATTAACATATGCCAGTGTTTCTCAAATTTCAGGGTTTCTAGTTTTTAGTTTTATTTTAAAATTTTAGTTTTCTCAAAATTTAGTTTAGGAATCAATTGGAAAGGTTAAAAAGAAAAGTGAGTCCTCTATTCAGAGTCTGAATCTGAAGATTGTAGTGTGTCCTAGGAATCTCCACTTTTATTGATCCTCAAAGAGATTCTCCAAGTCTCTGTTTTCCAAGTCCCCCTGTACCTTGAGAATAATTTCTCTAGATAATAAATTTCAAATTCTATTATTGCCATGAATCTCTTTATGTAAATAAAATCTTATGCGGAATGCCAGTGTACACCACAGATCATATTGGGGCTTCTGTGGCTAAAGTAGAGTTGGCCAGTGGTTCCAGAATCCCTCCACTCAACATTCTGAAGATGCTGGCCCGGTAAGGCTTAGTTAATTAGAGTTTAGTTTGGAAATTCTAACCTCTACAAAAGACATATGAGGTGATACTAAGATATTGCTGGGCCCTTATTGAACCTAATGTAAAAAAGTGTGCATCATTTGCTAGATTTTAGCATTTTAAAACTGGAAAGGGCCTTAGATAATGTTTAAATCTGGACTCTAATTTTCAAAAACTGTGGTCTGTAGGGGCTGAGGTTGTGGCTTAGTGGTAGAGTGCTTGCCTAGCATGTGTGAGGCCCTGGGTTCGATCCTCAGCACCACATAAAAAAATGAGTAAAAAATAAATAAAGATATTGTGTCCAACTATACACACACACACACACACAAACTGTGGTCTGTAGAGTTGTAGTAACTTTTTGAAGTTCATGTAGTATTATGTGTGACAAGACATGGTCAGAAACCAGGTTTTTTAATCTCTCAATTTGGTGCATCATCCTAGTCCACCCACATTCACCAATAAAATGCTCTTGGTCTCACAGCACCCTGATTGTGTATTTTTACAGTGTACAATCAGGATAAGAAAGTGTTAAGATTCCTGTTGTCTTTCTTTACCTAACTGAGTTTAGCATGGTTTCTTTTAAAAAGCTTTGATTCTGTAAAATGACTTCTCCTGTGACGAACAACCAGGCCCAGCAGAGCAGAGGGACTTTAACCCAGAGACCCAGGAGGGGAGGCTGGGAGCTCTGCCAGGGGCCTGCCAGTCCCTGGCCAGGTGTGAGGAAGTGGAGAGGATCAGCTGAGAGGGAGATACCTGGGAGGCACATCGTGGCTTAGAGCTCGGCTAGCCACACTCCATGCCCATCCCTGGCCCCTACCAGCTTCTTCCTCTGTGAAGTAGAGGCCAAAACATGAATTCCCTGAGGTTATTTGAGAATTAAAGAAAGTTCTATGATTATTATCCTCCTTATTATCTCCAAGGGACAAGTTGGAAAACACAGCATCTTTTCCTACTTAATAAAAAGAAAATAACATTTAAAAATACGTTGCTAGTTTTGAGAAGATGAGAAAGTTCTAGAGCTAAGTGGTGGGAACAGTTGCCTGGCAACAGAAATGCCCTCAAATTATATGCTTAAAAATGGCTAAAATGTTAAATTACATATTATGTATATTTAACCACAATAAAAACATGCATATATAAAAAAGAAAGATGTAAAAGATATTAGAGCAATTATACCCTTCAAAATAAGTGATAGGTACAACAGAGGCCTAACCCTCCCACAGGCACCTCTCCTGATTTGCCTGGATGGATGGGTATTGATCACTTGGGTAGGAACAAATATGCAGTTCATCAGTAAGCCAACAGCACAATAGTCTTTACACATCCAATGCCAAACACCTGCTTGGAGTCAGAAATATAGAATTTGTTTTTATGGAGACTTAAGTAGCAGCATCAATTTGAAGATATGATATTTGATAGGGATAGTCTTAACATATATTCAACATCCCATGTTCTTAGAAAGCAAACTTTTGGTCCTATTATCTTATTCATCCTATTGCACATAGAAATATCTTTACTGAAAAACAAGCTAAAAGTTATCTCTGGCTTTTGTAGAAGGGGAATACAAGAAACATTTTTATAGCATTACACCATTTTAAATCATTTGTTCCTTTATTACATGCTACATGCAAGGGAACAGTGGTGAATATATTTAGAGAACCTGTCCCCAAATCCCCTGTTTTGCTACTCTTATAGCTCTAAACAGGCTACATCCACATCTTGTTTGGTAAGTCCTGTTTAGTTACTTCCAAGAAAAAGTTCCATCTGTGAATTTTTTTTTTAACTTTCTTTTGTCAGGAAATGGAAAGTATGTAGCAATGTGTTTTCTTTTCTGCCTTAACTGCCAAAAAATTTAGAGCCAGAATTTAGTAATAACCTTATCTAAGACACTTGGCAGCATTTCTTTCTCTTTCCTTTAGTTTGCTTCTGTTCTTTTTTTTTTCTTTAATTTCTAATTGACCTATTCTAGGTTTTTAAAATTAGGAGCTACTCTAAACATTGTTGGTGAAGGAATGATCATTTGTTTTCATGTGAACTTGATTTGACATAGTGTGTGCATGTATTATCCTGGCTCTAATGAGACAAAAATGAGATGAAAGTAATTCACTCTTGAAATCTATGAGATGGGAAGCATGCAAAGGGCTTTGGAGTGTGGTTCCTGGAGATGCTTTCATGTCCTTACATTTGTCAGGGAAGCACAGGCGATATATGAGGTCTTTTGGAAATGTCCTATTGATGGGATGGTAGCTATTGCTCTAGATTTTCAGATATGAAGGGCAGGTTTGTTGGGAGTGTGTTACCTTGGAGCATCAGTGGCTTTGAGTCATTGTCATCTGTGTGGTGCTATTCGTTGTTCCAATTTTTCTTTCTCTTGCCACTTGTCATAAATTACAGTGTGCTGAGATCAACAAAGATATCTTTCAACTCCCAGCTGAGGCAGTGATCCTCAGGGGCAGTCCTGTGCCTCCTGGTATCTCTCTTGCAGGTTTTCTCGACCCTAAGAACATTGTCAAAATACTTGTTTTATGTCCTTCTAGAGCAAATGATAAGTGAGGTGATCATGTGGAGAGTTTTGAGATAATTAGAGTTCTTAGGAGAAAGTGTATATTAATTAAAAAATATATAAAAATATAGAGAGCTTCCCTCGTTAAAGACTAGATTTCTGCTCTTTTCATGTTTCCTGTTTGAATTTCCCTTTCCAAATGCAATAAGTCCCAAACATTTGCCTTCTGAGAAGACAACTCATGCTCTGTGCATTTAAATGAGGGAACTAGAAAGTCACAGGGGTGGGATGTCTAGCTCTGAAGACTGGTCTGCTCTGTTTTTACTGAACATGTACTTATGTATTTTTGTTGGCAGAGACTAACACACTTAATAGGATTGCTTAGCATACAATTAAATAATCTTTAAAAACTTGTATTTATTTGAGGTTGAAGGGAAGAAATTGTCCTTGCTCTAAAAATGTGTTCATCTTTGGGAAAGTGCAAATTGAAGTGTATAGATAATGATACTGCTTGATCACTGGGCTAGCATTCATTAGCTACTTTTCTTCTGAAGACTAAATTGACTACAGTTGTGTCTAAATTTATACATGGAAGTTTCCAGTTTGATTTTTTTTTAATCTAACCTAGGAAAAAAATAGAGAAAAATCAGGTTTGGTTGAAAATAAACACCAATACCAATTTTGATGTGACAGTTGAGAATATTAGGATGCAAAAATATACTTTTAAAGTACTGATGTTCATATATGAAGGACAAGAGCTATGGGCAACTTTGAAAAGATTCTCTACATTTAGAGGTTCTTTAGGAGACTTGTGCTATACACACAGGGTAGACTTAATAACCAGTAACAACAGTTTCTTAAGTGGACTGGGAAGAAATGCTGGATTACACAGTGAGGTATATGTCATTAGCCCCAAATTATACCATGTCAGAGAGAGAGAGAACTTGAACTTAATGAACCACATTAATGAACCACATTAGTGGCCCCAGCTCGTCCTCCTAATGCCTCTCGGTGCCTTGCTGCTGTTTAGACTGGGAGGCGCGCATTGACAGCCATGGCAGGATCTTCTACGTGGATCACGTAAACAGAACCACAACGTGGCAGCGGCCGACAGCTCCCCCAGCCCCACAGGTGCTGCAGAGATCTAACTCCATACAACAAATGGAGCAGCTCAACCGGCGGTGAGGATGCATGTTTTTGCTATTAAGGTTCTGTCTTGTGGTTGGGTTTTACCTGGTGCAAAGTATAAGACACAGCTGTCTCTTTCATCTCAGTGTGTTCTGGCATTAAAGTTTAGCTACAACCTCTTTTAATTCATAGACTCCACTGGACTTTTTTTGGTGGTTGAAAAAAAAAAACCCACATATATGCACACATTGGAAATAAATAGTAATGACCCTTTTAGACAACCCACGGCTATTGTTTTTTTTATTAAATAGAACATATGTGTTTAGAATTTGAAGCCAAATACCTTTTCTAATCTCCAGAATCTTCCTTTGTGTTGCATCTTTGTTATCAACCTCTGTTTTTTCAATCAGCCATTTTTTTTTTCAAGAACTAATTACAATGAAACACAAAGCTATTCTTTCCTTTAGCAATATAGGAATTTAGTTTTCTTTGGTAAAGGGCCACGATTTTAAGTTTTATTTAATAGGTTAGGGAAATGTTTCACAAACAATAGATAGAAAAAATCCAATGCCGTGAAATTCACTTATACAATTGGATGGTCCACAGGGTCAGGGAACGGGAACCTGGGGAGGACATGAGTGAATATGGGAAAGAAGGTAGTGAAAACTTTGAGGCTCGCGGGGAGCAGTTGGGTCCCACCTTTTAGAGGCTGCTGGAATGTAACTATAGACTCATGATCTTAGTTATCAGAGCATCCGCAGAACCATGACTAATGAGAGGCCTGAGGAAAATACCAGTGCTATTGATGGGGCCGGGGAGGAAGCCGACTTTCACCAAGCCAGTGCAGGTAAGAACCTTGGGTTTGTTGGATTTTATAGACTCATAAAAGTAGGAAATAAATGATTAAGAATTTCCCAGGATATGAGCTTTTCTTTAGGAGAACTCTTGATCTTCAATAAAATCTGATAATCTAACTCAAAAAAAAAAAATTACCACAAACCCCTTCAATTCGTTTACCTTTTATTAGTACTATGAAAAGAATCACAAATAGAACATAAATTACCATAGTCTCTGAATCTGTGGGATAGTGGGAGAGGAATCTGATCATTTTGAAAGAGTCTAAGACTGCATTAAAGTGGATTCAATTTAGTTTTAGTGTAATTGAGAACAGTTGGGTCTTATGTATGAATTTATATTAAGGAAAATAGAAGTGATGGGGGGGTTGAAGTAACAGCAGATGATAGAGGTATTGTTTTGTTCTTATGAAACCTAGACTGAAGTGAACAGAACAATTTCCTTGAAAGCCTTTGTGGTCTGTCCTGTCCAGATTTCCGCCGGGAGAATGTCCTGCCCCATTCTACCTCCAGATCCAGGCTCACGTTGCTGTTACAGTCTCCCCCTGTGAAGTTCCTCATCAGCCCAGAGTTCTTCACCGTGCTGCATTCTAACCCTGTGAGTAGCAAATCTGGAGGAAGGTGACGGGAAAACAACTGGTCAGAGAAACCTGTGCTCACTTATGTAATGAGAGTAAGAATAACAGCCAGCAATCTGAGCACTTCACTGCATGTTTTAACCCACTTAGTCCAAAGTATCCTTGTCTTGCTGCTTTAACGACAAGACAAAACAGAAAGCCATGAAATCGAGTGGCTTAGGAACAATGAAAATTTATCTTTCACAGTTCTGGAGGGTGGTAAGTGTAGGCTCTGTGTGCTGGCGGATTTGGTGTCAAGTGAGGGCTCATTTCCTGGTTCGCAGACAGGACCTTCATGCTGCTTCCTCACAGTGTGGAAGGGTTGAAGGTCTCTTTTTGGGTTTCTTCACTAATTCCACTCATGAGGATTCCACCCTTATGCCCTTCACCTCTTAGGCCATCTCCCACTCCATCTCCTAAGACCATTATGTTGGTGATTAAGGTTCAACATATGGATTTTGGGGGACACAGACATAGACTGACCATACATACCAACAGTGGATTCCCCTTTATGTATGGACACTGAGCTAAGTCCTAAGGGCACAAAGATCAGAGCAGGCATGGGCCCTGGGATCTCAGACTTGAAAGACTATACCAGAAAGATCATTCCATAAGTCTCTCAAGGCTAAGGGAATGGCTTGCTGAAGACATTAGGTAGAGGAAGTATGTTGTAGTGGCATGTAGTGACCTAGGATGAGGGAAACATTGCCCTTAGAAGCCCAGCTGGACATAACCCATTTGTCATGGCATGAATTAGAAGAAGCCTGGGCAAGGAGGCAAGGAAATAGAGAGGAAGGGAATGAATGGCATGGCACCAGAGGAATCACAAGCAAACTTGGCAAGACTTGGTGGGGATTGTATAGATAGAATAGAAACTGAAGGTAATCCTAAATAGTAATAATACACATAAGTAATAAATAATACATAGTTAATAATAATAGAGAAAGTTAGAATGAGGGATTGCTTAGAGGAATGGAAGGAGAACATATCAGATTTAACAAATTATATATCCTTGGAAAAACAGATGAGACGATGGGAAATGTAGAAGTTAGCATAGTCATAACACTAAGAGTTCTGAGTGAGGTCATTAGGATGTCCATATTTTTTGATATTAATATATTTCTATCTTACTTCATTGGCTTTGCTTTATAAGTATAAGCATCTGCCTGGTTTTATTCATCATTATCTCTGGGTTTATAGGTTTAGCTTGGAACAAAGACGTTTTGGGTCGAGGGTGACAACTGCTAGCACACTGGCTGTCCTTGTATCATGTGAGAGGAGTTAGACTGGCCATACATGCCAACAATGGATTCCCTTTTATGTATGGGTGCTGAGCTGAGTCCTAAGGGCACAAAGATCAGAGCAGGCATGGGCCCTGGGATCTCAGACTTGAAAAAACATCACAATGCCATGACCAGAGTTATGAGTGCAGTGATGGAAAGCTGCAGAAGACATGCTGGAGTGAGTGATTAACTCCAAGGGGAAAGCACACACAAGGAGCCGTAGACAGGTTTGCATCTGAAATAGGTCTTAATGGCTGGACTGGAGCTTGTCCTAGAATAAGATGGGCAAGAGCACTCTAGGTAGAAGGGAAAAGCACTTTATGGAACAAGACATTCAGGACACAGCAGGACTGTCTTGATAATTATTAATTACAGAAGCACAGAAATTGGATTAGCAGTTTAAAGCCAGTTTGGTGTTGTTGATATGTTGAAAGCACAGGACACTGGAAAAGTCAGCCTTGAGGCTGGAAAGGTGAGCAGAAGCCAGAGCACCTCAACCTAAACTCATGTACTCGTGTCTAGGAGGTAACAGACTTTTTTTATCAAGAAGAAAGGGCTAACATTTAGGGTTGTCACTCAACACAAAGTATCATGGTGTAGTGGGAAGAGTTTTGGACTTGGAGTCAGAGAGTAAGGCTTCCCTTTGTTCATTTGTGTTATCATTTCAGTCCACCTATATTTATTAAAAGTCTGTGATTTGGTATATTCTAGATTGTGGAGTTATAGTTGTAAATAAAATAGAGTGATAGATAACAGATGAGTGAATAAAAAAGGATAATTAATATGACGCATCATAGCCTGAGGCAACTGGAGCGGTACACTGGTATAGAGCACTTGGGCAGAAACTGTTTGAGATGTGAGGAGGGCGGTGGGGTATAGGAAGGGGACAGGCAGGCCTCCCCAGGGATCCCAGGAATATTCAAGCTGTCATAAAATGTCAAGAAGCTAGTTTGGTAAAGGCCTGTGAGCAGAACCTACTTTTTGAAAAAAGAGCTGTAGTTTGCAGGCAGGAAGGAGTTTGAGGGGCATATAATCATCTCAGATAACTGAGTGGGGATACAGAATATAAAGCTTACATAATCTGGCAAGGAATTTGGACTTTAATACAAATGGACTTCATTCTAAAATTGATTCCTCTATGTAGGTGATTTAAATTTCTAGAAAGTTCTAGCTACTTTGGGAGAATGGGTAATAAAGTGCAAACCTGGCTTTGGAAAGACAGGTGAAAAGGCTTTGTGAGGAGATGTAGAAGTGGCTTGGACCAGTGCAGTATCAGTAGACATTGAGACAAGTAAATGAATTTGTGATGTGTTTTGGATGGAGGGCTGACATTATGGTAATAGGCTGGAGTGTAGGGATAAGAAAGCATCACATAAAAATAAATAAATAAAATAAAGATATTGTGTCCAACTACAACTAAAAAATAAATATTAAAAAAAAAAACAAAGAAAAAGACTTTAGGAAGGAGCAACTGATTGTATGATAATATTCCAGGGATTGTTGATAAATGTTTGTTGATAAATATGTGTATATGTATATATGTATATGCATTTCTCTTTTAAAAATATATACACACATATATCAACTATAAAATTTATCTATATAAAGGAAATCTAGTGTACAGTTTATAAGTAAAAGTAAAATATGCATAGAATGCTTTTGTTGATTTTCCCCACTATTGTATCAGTAACCAACCTACAGTGGTAATGGTAATTGATTAATGGTTTAGTTCCAAGAGGGATACTTTTGTATTAATGAGTAGGACAACAGTGAAACAAAGAAAACAGGGAAATAGGGAAGTCATACTCTTGTTAATGAGGTCAGCACCTTCTTTGTTGAGCCAGATAATAGTTTTTGAATACTGGACCTGTGTTTCTTCATTTTGTTCCTGTGAGATATTCACAATGTAACAGCATGATTTGAAGTTTAGTTTGCATTAGTAGCATTTTATTTTCTCCATCAATTTCTAAGTCAGAAAAAGGCAACCAATTTTTTTCTCTAAAGGATCAGAGAGTAAATATTTTAGGTGTTTGGACCAAGGACAATATGTAAACACAGGGACCTGGCTGTGTTCCAATGATACTTTGTTTACAAACACAGTCAGGCTGATCTAAACAGCCTTCAAAACAATACATCACGCCCTGATTTGTATTTACCCTCTTCTGCACTGTGCATTCGCCCACCAAGGCCAAACTCAAGATGCTAATGACCTCACCAAGCACAGGTTCTGACTTCTCTATGTGGGCTGCTTTCTTTGGTACAAGTTCCTCATCACTTCAGTATTTCAATTAGAGGCTGGAATAACAGTCGCCAGGCTGTGGTCTAAGACTGTGGTTATTAAACTTGGAAGGCTTAAAAAAAAACAAAAACAAAAAAAACCGCACATTCTTTGTTCCTTGGAGAATCTGGTTCAATAGGTCTGGAGTGGGTCCCAGGAGTCTGTATTCATTTACTTATGTAAGGTCCCTTAAGTAATTGAGATGCAATTAGGGGCTTATAATTTGGGATCTCCCAATGTTAAGACATTGCATCAAAGGACCCCATTGCCTACATCACAACTATACACCTTATAGACTTTTGACAGCTAAATCGTCTTAAAAGCGTGAAAAGTCTAAGCACCTAACTGGTTTTCTTGCTCACTTTGTTTTCTTTTTGTTGTTATCTTTCATTTTTCTATATTTGAGCATGATTTTAAAATTTCTCTGGATAGCCCATCATGATTTTAAAGTACTCTTTCTAAAGCATTTCAATTTTTTTTCTTCTTTTTACCCAAACTGCATTCATTATTGGCTAAAAAAAATGATCCATGCTGTACATCTATGCAAATCTGTAAGATTTAAATTCTGTTGGTTTAGAAGGCATATTTCCCTGACTTACATGCGGCAGAAATTAAAGCAGTTGGGTTTTTCTTGCTAAATGTCTCAAGGTAGCACTAATGGGCTAAGATTATGTAGAAGTCATTACTTGTTGGAGTTCTTCTCTTTCCTGAAGAGAAGATAGACTCATTTGGTCTATCTTCATTTTTTTGTTTATGTTTTTAATTTTGCTTTTGCTTGAATTGCTTATGCTATATAATTCTTTATGTAGATTCCTTGTTTGTATTATTGAAATATTCAATATGCAAAATGAGTGTTTTAATTTAAAGGTTTGCCTAATTCTCTGTTTTTATGATTGGAAGATACCAGTTTGTGTTGCAAGATAGTCATAAGAAATAGATATTGTGTGGAAATAATTTACCTGATAATTCTCATTAAAAAGAACAAAAGTAAGTAGAAATATGGTGTCACAATGCTAAAGGAAAACTTGATAAACAAAATTTTGATATTTTTCTTTGGTTTGGGGGTTTGATTTCAGATATATTCTACTGCCCTCTGCTGGTTGTGATCAGATTTCCTCTAGAATTGTCTCACTCTAGTAATTTCTTCTTAACTCAAGATTTAGTTGTTAGCGCCATGTCTTTCATAGTTGGTATGCCTGTGTTTATCTGACTATACATAAATGTACTTAATTATATGCAACTGAATAATGTTTCCAACATACATGCCAAATAATTATTTCTTTGACTATTAATAAGCACTAAAAATACATGAATTCCAACATATAAATTCCTTGGCACTTAATGAAGAAAATTATTATTCTACAATTCACAAATATACTTTTACAGGTCAAGAATTACTATCATAGCAAAATAGATGAACCGATAGTTTATAGTTGTTTCTGTTAATAGATTTAAATTTCCCTCTATTTTATTTTCTAACTAGATGAAAACAATGTGAAATTCTTTGTAATTTAAAATATTAGGAATAAAGATTGTATAAGACAAGACTCTTCATTCCCCAACCAGTTTCTTCTAGAGATAATATTTCCTGATTTTGTTTGTAATAAATTTTGTTTATGGAATGTGTGCAAGTGAATATGTGGATATGAGAGACATTTGCTCTAGATTTAGTGATGCCATTTTCCAATCCTAAATTTAAAATGCCTATTCTTTTTTTTATTTTTATTTTTTGCAGTGCTGAGGATTGAACCCAGGGCTTTACATATGGTAGGCAAACACACTACCATTGAGCTACATCCCCAGCCCCACAATGCCGATTATTAAGAGAAACCTGCAAAAAAAAAAGGAGGGTGGGCTAGGGATTATCATTTGCATTTGCATTGTGGTTGATGGATAAGAACTATTTATACATAACTTTTTTTATTTTGCTGCCAAATGATAAGAACATTCTCCTCAGCTCTTTTCACTATTTTCACTAAAACCTCAAACACTTAACCAAACAAGTTTCATTTAAGCTCCAAGTTTAATTTTAACCAAATTCCAGTAAAGAAATTCAATCAGTCATTGGCTCAACCGTTGAGTGTCTTGCTAGGCAGACATGAAACAAAGAAGAGAGAGGCTGGGAAAGGGAGTTTTGAAACAGAGAAGAAATAACTAAAAAGGATAAGTTCACTCACTTCAAAAGAAAACAAAACATAATGTTTTCCAGAGATCTTTTAAAGGGGCTTTATCTGCTATTGAGGTTGGCCAACTCTCCTTCGCTCCCTGTGACTCCTTTAGCAACCCCCCACCCAGTTAAATCATTCTGTGCACTTGTGTCAGTTATGTTACAACAGAGCTGCCACTCACTCCTTCCTGATCTGCTTTTGTTTCAGGTAAAAACTCAGATCCATTTACTTCACCTTTTTCTTTAAGACAAACAAATCAACAAACAAATGCAGAAAAAGATCCTTACCTAGTTAGGACCATAAATCCCAGAGGGAGAATAAGATTGATTTCTTCTCTCTTGAACCACAGCTTTTCTGACATCAGCCTCCATGAAGACCAAAGCCTTTCCTTCCAGTCTCACCTGTGTAGTGTCTCTTCACTCACATTCTTAGCTCTGCTGGTTCTCCAGGGTGTTTCAGCATCTGCGCCACCATTGTCTTCTCTTTTCCAGCTCTACTCTTTACCTCCTGTGAGCTCTTCCTCCCACATCCCTCTATAATTTCCCTCTCCATCCTTTTGAGTGATCAGGTCTATATCCTCAGGGTTTAGCACAGGGCTTAGCACATAGTTAATGAAAGGAAAGAAGACCCTGCTTAGTTAACAGAGAGTGCGATGCTAGCCCAAGATCTTCAAAGACTGAGAGAGAAAACAACTTTACTACCATCATTTATCTGTTATAAAACAGGTATGATATGCATAATCCCCTATATATTCTTCTAATTACTTGAACTCTGTATTTTATAGTGATTTTTACCTCTTCAAAGCATTTTCACATCCTTTGTTCTATTAAATTTGAATCTCACATGCCTCTGAAAAAAGCAAGGGAGTTATTATCCCATCTTATATTTGAGGCAATTGAGGCAGACAAAAATTAAGTGGTTTTCCTTGTCTCTGTCCATAAGTGATAGAGGTCTGACCAGAGTCCTCATTGTAGTGCTGTACGAAATGGAGTATAAATATCCAGTAATAAAAGAATATTTATACCTCATTTTGAATTTTATCTGTATCTCTCTATTCAAATACATCTATACAATATTCATATAAATACATACACACTACAGTATATACCGTACACATATGTATATACATTTATGTGTGTGTCTATATACACATGTGTGTATATGTGTGTGTGTGAGTATATATGCGTACATACATGCATACATGTTAAAAAAAATGGTTTCTTTGTAAAAATGTAGCAGTGTAGAGAGATGTTCCTGTTTGCCTTAAGTGTTTTGAATAAACCCTGACAGTCATGTGCATTTTATTCAGATTTGAAAAGACTGATTCTAAAAGTTGTTTGCTAGTTAATAACGAAAAATATTTTTTTGCATTTAATTTACCTTGGTAGACGCTTTTTGCAAAGATCAGTCAACTCTGGCACTTTTTTGCATGTCTCAGTGAGTGGAGGGGGAAGATGAAAGGATATGATTAATTAGAAGAAGAATCTTAAGATTCCTGTGCATAAAGAGCTACCCCACTGCCAGGAATTATTTCAACCCTGAGGCTAGGATGAGTACCTTAACCTAACTGCTTAGGATTCTGCTACTTTTCTTTAGCAGGTTGAGAAGCATTTGTAGTGCTCTAGATTAGGAATTGTGGTGTGGCCTTTTATTATAATGGGAGGAGGGAAAAGCGAAAGGGACCAACAGGTACACCCATTTATAACAACAGGATAATTCTACAATGATTTGTCCCCAAAGAGACTGATTAGGAGTAAGATTCAAGAGCTTTTTTGTGTTGTTTGTTTGTTTGTTTGTTTTCCATTGCTGTTCAAACTCATTCTCAGGCCTCTACGTTTGCAATGGTTTATGTGAAAATGTATCCGGAACTCAGAGCCAAAAGTAGAAACCAGAGGCTGGCTGATTGTACTCAAAAATCTAAGCCAAGACCAGCCATAGAGTAAATTATTAGTTAGCTAAAGTTTGTCTCTGACAACCTCTAATTTGTATTAGTATCCTCTGTTTTCATGGTATCACTCTCCCATTCTCTCATGCTTCCTAATTGCTCAGAGGCCCTGCCTCTTTGTAGTACCCAGTGCTCTGAACCATGACTGCTCTCAGCCACCAAAACCTCCTCTTATTTAGACTCACAGATTGAAATATGACCCCAAAGTAGCTTATACTCAAGTATACTATCAAACTAAGATCTGAGGATGATTCACTGCTGCCAGCTCTGTTTGCCCTTCCTTTCTTCTTTCCTTCTTTTCAGATGTTTTGATAGGCAAAAAAGTATTTCAATACAAAGCAAAAAAGCATATAATAATGGTGAAATAATCAGAACACTTTAGATTACACTTCAGTAACAGCAACAATAAATGTCGATGGCTTAAGCTTACAAAGATTTGTTTCTTACTCCAAATCAGATTTTTTTTGGGTTCTCCAATTCACATAGTCACTCAGGGACCCAGGGACCCAGGCTGGGGAGGTCCCTAGACTGTGTAGCATCCTTGAATAGTAAGTATTAGGAATCCAAAGCCCTTTGAATCTACCTGAGAAGAATAGAATTTCAGGATGGATCATTCATAATCTAGTCACTTTCATGGATATCATATTTTTGATGATTCAAGAAAAGAGCTCCCATATAGTTATTCTTTTTCTGCTGCTTAGCACATGATATTATGCAGTGAATATTTGTTTGGTACCTGATGTATAGTGTCATGGACTTAGAATCAATTTCTGGAGTCTTAAGCATCTTAAGAGATTAAGGCTATAGAATTTTTGACAAAACCATCATTTTTTTTGCATGGTAGTATAGTAGAGTTTTATTAAATTTGCATTTCCGTCATATAAATTCTACCATACATACATAGGGGAAAAGAGAGAGAAAAAAATAATAGATAAGCAGTCCAGGCAGTTCTAGTTATTACTCCATTCACTGAGTTGATGCCTCCAAGAAAATGTAAGATGAAAACTTTAGTCTACCCTAGTTGCAATTGAAGGTGACTTCAGTAAAAGCAATTCATCTCATTGCATGTGCTTCTAATGCTCAAATACATGGCAAAAATTTTTTCATACAAAGTGGCCCCCCAGATGTATGCCAACTGAATCATCTGTCACTCACCCAAAAAGCCAATGCTCTGGTTTAGTGCTGGAGGAAAAACAGTGTATGTGACAGCTCACTGTGAGGTGGCATATTTATCTCCAACATAGCACAATTTTGATTGTGTATATGTTTTGCTAAAACCCTCTTTAGGACCTAATGTCCTGTGTAGAATGAGATGCTACAGTGTTCTTTTTCTTTAGAAAACTATTCACCAATAGTGGAGAGATACTTCTACCCATAGTCGTCTTCTGTTATTTTGTTCAAGGTACTTTTCTGTTTGCTGTTTTCATATGTAGGTCTGAAGTCATGTTGAAGCCTGTGAACCTGTTTTATATACCTACTAGAAGATGTGGTCATTGTGATGCTTTTACATTCTACAAGCAGGTTAATGTTGGTTCTCCATCCTTTTCTCCAGAGTGCCTACCGCATGTTTACAAACAACACGTGTTTGAAGCACATGATCACCAAAGTCCGGAGGGACACCCACCACTTTGAACGCTACCAGCATAACCGGGACCTCGTGGGATTCCTCAACATGTTTGCGAACAAACAGCTGGAATTGCCGAGGGGCTGGGAGATGAAACATGATCATCAGGGCAAGGTAACATGAGGGGGCTGCCCCTGGGAGCAGCCGAATGCCTGTGGGTCACTTGTGACTTTGGCACTTGGCTCTGCCTTTTCAGTGAGGGCTGAAGGCCCTTTGTGGGGACAGACATTCCATCTCCTCTTCAGGTGAAACCTGCTCTGGCAGGCCATTTGTTCCTATAGGCCCTCACAACACTAGTCTGAAATCAAGTATGGTGCAGAGGTGTGGATTTGGTGGGGACAAAGTTCCCTGGCTATTCTTCTACCTGTCGTTTCTGACCATTTTCTACTAATGAGATAAAGTGTTTCTTAGGCAACAACACTTTTCCTCCCTCTGTAGCTCCTGTTGTAGATGTTTAAACAAAAACTTGCGATATTGTTTGAAGAGGGCTACTAGGAGTCACTCAGCAAGTCACTGCTAAAGATACCATCTGGGCCTCAGCTCTGGCTCAGAATAGATTTTATTTGCACTCTGAACAACACACTGATGCATTTATGATGAGAAATGCATGACTATCAGAGGCCAGAGTAACCACATCTGTACTTCCTTTGTAGACGGGTGAACCAGAAAGCCTGGTGATAATCAGGAAGTCGTTCTATGAGTAAGAGTGAGAAAGTTGGTGCTTGTTATAAGGTGATCTCAGCCAAGATTTTATTTTTATTTAACATTTTCTTAGCACTTATTATGAGCCATGAAATGTTTACACGTTTTGTACATAGAAGGTCCTATGTATAGCGAGTACTGCTTACTAAAGCATTACTGTTAGTATTGCCACTTACAAGTAAGTAGTCCCAGGCTCAGAATGGCTCTGTGACTTTCCTGGTGTCACTGAGACATGCAGAGGCTGAGCTGTGCTCAGACCGAGGCCGTCTGGTCCAAAGGGCTACACTCTTACCCATGATGTGCTCTCCAGAATTATGTAACCAACCTCAGCTTCCTTATCTATTGGAATTTGTGACTTAAAGGATAGTGAGGATTAAAATGACATGATATTAAGAGTTCTTTTATATTTTTAATTACCCCCTTTTATCTCCTCTTCTACTCTAGCACTTTCACGCAGAAGTTTCTTAAAACAAGTTGATGAGTGATACTTGCAAGCAGTAGTTCCCTGGCTATTCAGCAAGCTTTGCTTTAGTCAAAATAAAAAGCTTCCGGGTTCCCTCTCTACTCTTCTTCCTCCTTCCTTCTAAGCCCTTACAAGAAGCAACTCCTGGGTTTGCTCCATTTGACCTCTCTTAATGTATGTGTTGTCTTAGGTTTTTTTGTATTACATGCTTGAAAAAATAGAGATTGTGTTTACACTTTACCTGTCTTTTGGAAGAATATTTTTTGGTAATTACTTAAGGCCAAGGATTTAAATTGTTTAAACTGGATGAGATTTCATAGGATTTAAATACATACAATATGAAATACCTACAGTATGTTATGTTTGGGAGATCCTTTCTCCCCTGAACCTTCTTGCATTGTCTCACATGTGAGCTTTTAGGGGACACCTCGCATCCAAACCATAACACAGGCACTCTACTAAGTACTTTCCCATGGATTATTTTATTTATAGCTCATGGCAGTGTATGAGGTCGGTATTATTATCTACATTTTGCTGAGCTTTAGAGGTGTTAAACAGTGTATGTATTCACAAGGAAGTGAGAAACCCACTGTACTCTAATTCAAAGGAATTTTTTATGACATTTGCCAGTAAATGGATGGATCTGGAGAATATCATGCTAAGTGGAATAAGCCAATCCTCCAAAACCAAAGGTCGAATGATTTTGCTGATATGTGGAAGCTAAACTATAATAAAGGTGTGAAACGGAATAAAAGAGAAATTCAATAGATTAGACAAAGGGAAAAAAAGGAAGGAAGGGGGATAGGAATAGGAACGAGTAGAATAAATCTAACATAATTTTCTTATGTACACATATGAAAATAACTAAGTGAATCCCACCATTATGTCCACTCACAAGAATGGGGTCCTAATTAGAATAAGATATATCCTATGCTTATATAATTTAATCAAATGGTTCCTACTGTCATGTATAACAAAAAATAACCAATAAAAGAAAATTTAAAAAACAAAGAAATAACAGATATTTGAACATCTCAAGGAAGAGAAATTCACCAGGACAAATTCTGGGATTACTAGTGTCCTTCAAAGTTGAGTCATACATATTGATCATGAGTAGATCATGGATAATTTCTAAATATCAGGAGGGCTCATGCTAGGGGCTCACAGTATCAATGTAAAGAATGGAGTTCACATGTACTGATGGCTTATTAGATGCCAAGATCTATGCTAAAGATATTTATTTCCACAGCAATTCTGTAAAATAGTTTTTACTACAGATGAAAATAAGGCTCAGAAAGGTTGAGTTAATTCCACGCAGTAAATTCTTGGATACAAACCCTGGTCTTTCTGTATTAATAGTTGCATAGGGTTGGGATGATACGGTGAGTGAATGCTCAAAGCTTTCCTGTACAAGGTCCATCTAGACCTCAGTGTCCACAAACTGTCTAATTTGGGAGGCATCATTTTAAATCCCAGGGTCTGACTTACCTTATCTGTACAAATAAATAGGGTGGTCATCTTTTCCTCTGATAGTTGGCCATTGCACATTTTCTTTGGAGAAAAAGGTCTACTCAAACACTTTGTTCATTGCTAAATTGGGTTATTTGGCTTTATTTTATCAAGTTCCAAAAGTTCTTTAGATGCTAGACCCTTATCAGACACATGGCTTACAGATATTTTCTCATGTTTCCTGGGTCATATTTTCACTGTCTTGATGATATTGTTGATAGCACAAAAGTTTTATCTTTGATGTAGTCTATCTGTATTTTCTTTTGTTATTTGTTCTTTTGGTGTTATAGCTAAAAATACATGTAACTTAAGGCTACAAAGGTTTACTCTTCTATTTTATTCAAGAGTTTTATAGTTTTAGCTTCTCAATCCATTTCAAACTATAACCCATTTCTAGCAAATGTTTTTAATGGTGTGAGGGGTAGGGATCCAACTTCATTGTGTGTGTGTGTGTGAGTGTGTGTGTGTGTGTGTGTGTGTGTGTGTATGTATGTATCTAATTATCCCAGCATAATTTGTTGAAAAGACTCTTCTTTCCCAATGGAATATCATTAGTCATTAGAGAAATGCAAAAATGGAAATGAAAGCCACAATAAGTTAGTACCTGACACCCATACTTGAAAAAATGGAAAACAATAAATGTCGATGAGAATGTGGAGAAATTGAAGCCCTCATCTATTGCTTTGGAAACAGTTTGGGAGTTCCTCAAAAGGTTTAACAAATAATTGCCCCATGATCTTACAATTCTACTTCTAGGTAAATACCCAAGGGAAATTAAGAATACCTCTACATAAAAACTTGTATATGAAATGCATAGCAGCATTTTTCATAATAGCCAATAGTTGGAAGTAACCCAAATGTGCATCAATAGGTAAATAAAATGTGGAAAATTGATGCAGAGGAATACTACATTACAATACTACCAATGAATGATGTCTGATACATGCTATAACATAAATAAACTGAAAACATTTGCTAAATGAAAGAAACTAGTCAAAAGATCACCTATTATTCAATTTCTGTGAAATATCCAGAATAAGGAAATATAGAGACAAAAAGTAGATTAATAGTTACATAGGGTTGGGATGATATGGTGAGTGAATGCCCATGGGTATAGGTTTCATTGTGGGGTTCAAAGATGTCCTAAAATTAGGAGTTGGAAATCGTTGCACAACCCTGTCTCTGTACTTTAAACAACATGATATATGTACTTTAAATGAGTGAATTGTATAGTATCTAAGTTAATGGTTAATAAAACTGTCTAAAAGTGAATAGTTTGAGAAGACCAAGATTGCCTTTTTAGCTCCCAGATTTTATAGATTTCTGCTACTTTTATCTCAAAGATTAGATGATGTTAATATCAAATTTGCACTTGTCTCAGTGTGTTTTGATTGCTCTATCTAACAAGATACCTTAGAGTGTAGCTCATAAACAACAGAAGCATATTTCTCACAGTTCTGTAGATTGAGAAGACTTCTTAATGCTGTCACCTTGGGAGTTAGGTTTCAACATATGCATGGTGAGGGAGGGAGCACACAAACATTTATAATAGTAATGCTTTTCCTTCTGCTTTTGATTTTGTTTGGAGAGGTCACTTGTTTAAAATTCCATAGTGGTATTCCTTTCAGTATTTTTTTCCCATTAGTTATTTCCTTAATTATTTTAATTTTGTAATGTTGAGAATGAGAACTGAGCCAAGCTTAATTTCATACAGGGTTGACTTTATGAGACTGTGTCATCAACATCTGTATGTATCTGTGGGATCTAAGGCCCAGGATTTTCACTCAACATGCAGGACATACATTTTGACTTAGTTCATTTTGAAATGAAAGAAAGTAGGTCAGTGTGAAAAGAAAGTTTCTGCTTGCTTCTCATTGTAATAATTTTTAAACTTTTGAATATTCTCAGGAGTGTGAAAATCAAGGGTAATTTGGGATCTGAATAACTGTTGATACAGTTTTTTATTAGTTATGCATGAAATATGCATCAATAGTATTAAATGGGACTGAATTAAATAATTTCTGATCCTTGGCTGAGTTTAATCATTAGTGTGTGCTCATGGGGATAATATATCTAGAAAAAAATGTGCTTTAATAAGGAAAACCAAACGGTATTTAACCTAGGAATGGATTTCTTTTATGTTTTTTGTTAATTTGATGGGTTTGAGAAAATGATGCTGAAGTAGGTCAGGATTCTTGAATCCAACACTATAGGATATGACCTCCGTGAGCCCCCATTTTTTTAGGAACCCTCTTTTTTGTGTATGGGGTTGGGGGTTGAACTTAGGGCCTTCCACATCCTATGCAATCACTGTCACTGAACTACAGCCCCAGCCTTCCCATTTTCTTTCCTATGCGGTTTAGGATCAGTTCTTTCCAGCTCCTGGAAATGTGATTGGCATCAAATTATAGAACAGTAGGTTTACAAATGGAAGAAAAAC